CTAACTGTAAATGGAATCGGGCCTTTGACACGGTTGGTGGGTCACGTGGTACAACCACGTGATAGTTCACCAGGATTCAACCTGTTACAGTAAGAGAAAAAATACTATCATAGGATAAAAATATACTCAACTAAATAACTAAAGTATTTCACCACTGAACGGGTCACACTACTGAACGGGTCACCCCATCAATTTTACGCGTCAGTCTGGTGTTTCCATTTTCAACTACCCACCATGCCCCCCCTAAATGCTCTATATGTCCAAGACAAACAGGATCAGGAGAATAGGGTCTTATTAGCTTACCAAGCTTACAAGAATGGCGATATATCATCAATGCGTAAAGCTGCAGCTATGTTTAATATACCATTTTCAACCCTCCAACGCCGCCATTCTGGTGTCCAATTTCGTCTTGAAACACACCCACCGCAGTCTAAACTGACTGAATCTGAAGAGGATTCATTACTTCAATGGGTCGTCTCTCTAGATGATCGCGGCTGTGCTCCTAGAACTAAAGATGTTGGTAGAATGGCTAATATCCTACTCGCCGACCGCGGAACCAACCCTCCTCTTACGATCGGTAAAAACTGGGTTACTAGGTTTGCGACGCGTTTACCTGAACTTAAGACGACCTATTCAACACCGCGCGATTTTACACGTGCGCGTCAAGAGGACTATAATGTGATCAATAATTGGTTCAAACTGGTTGAAAACACGATCGCAAAATATGGTATCACCACCGACGATATCTATAATTTTGACGAGACTGGGTTTGCGATGGGACGATGTGCGACCGCGAGAGTGGTTACTAGAGCTGGTTATTATGGTAAACGCGCAAAAAAACAGCCTGGTAACCGGGAATGGGTTACTGTGATAGAGTGTTTAGGCGCGTCTGGTTACGCACCTCCACCCTGTATTATCTTTAAGGGTAAGGTGATGATGCAGAGCTGGTTTGCTCCTGATCTAGGTTTACCACCTAATTGGCGTCTTGAGATTAGTCCTAATGGCTGGACATCAAATCAAATAGGGCTCCGTTGGCTTGAAAAGCTCTTTATACCTGCTACTGCTCGTACTAAAGGACGGTATCGCCTTCTGATCTTAGATGGCCATGGTAGCCATTTAACACCTGATTTCGACAAAATCTGCCAGGAGCATGATATTATACCATTATGTATGCCTGCGCATGCGTCTCATCTTCTTCAACCTCTTGATGTTGGGTGTTTTGCGGTGTTAAAACGCTCTTATTCTCGGCTGGTTGAGTCTAGAGTAGAGCTTGGTTTTTCCCACATTAGTAAAGGAGATTTCCTAGAGATATATCCTACTGCGCGTATTGAAGCATTTGCATCTGCTTCTAATGCGTTTGCTGCAACTGGAATCGTGCCACTTGACCCTACTAGGGTGTTAAAAAAGCTTACTATGCGCGTCGATACACCACCACCACCACCCTCTATAGGAAGCGATTCAAGTCGAAATTGGACACCTAAGACGCCTAGGACGCAGAAAGATTTACGACGTCAACACCAAGCTATATTACGCACTGTATCTCGAACGCCACCAACACCATCTAAGAGAGCATTAGACCAGATAGTAAAGGGTGCAAATTACCTATATCAAGAGAATGCTCTCTTACGCCTGGAAAACAGAGATTTACGCGCCGCCCATGAGAAAAAGAAAAAACAAAAAGAACGTCCGAATCGTCAATTAACAGTAGTAGGGGGTCTTACAATTCAGGAGGGATTAGACCTGGTTGACGCGTCGAATGGTGGCCCTAAACTTAATGATGCCAATTTACAAGAGGGCCAGGCGCCTGTAAGGGCGCCTGTAACCCAACGCCGGTGTGGGATATGTAAGACACCTGGACATAGGAGGGAAACCTGTCCTAGTAGGCCCATTCAGTAGTTTTTTTTTACTATATTACATAGTAAATAATGGAGTTATTGGGATTCATAAAAATAAGTGGGTCAAACTGACCCGTTCAGTAGTGTGACCCGTTCAGTGGTGAAATACTTTAGTACAAATGTATACTAGTATAACTGGGCGGTGGCAGAAAACTGCGAATATTCGCGAATATTCGCATCAACTATAAGTGCGAATACGAATAATGGCTAGTGGTCGCGACTGCGAATACGAATAACCTGAAATGAGTGCGAATATTATTCGTGCCGAGCTCTAAAGTATCTTAATGCTCTCAAAGCTGAGAGGGACCTGCATTAGCTTTGTCTAAGTAAGTGTTGGTACTATCATCTCATGCTTATCATGGCATCACTCGCCGCTTATCGGGTGGGAAGCCACATGTCAACTTGGGCGAGGAAGTGGGATTATATGAACCAATCAGAAGACTTCACAATCTCAAATATGTGTGTATTCGCAGTAGTGAATCTTACTGCAGTAAAGAGCGTACGGAAGCTGACTAATAAAGAACACTAGACTAAAATAGGACTGGCCATTTGACACCACATGCTTATCATGTGACTTCCAGGTACCATATCCATAGCAGCAGTTTCATGATAATCAACCACTTCTTACAACTTACAACTACCGCACGTACTACACGCATACGTAGACCACTTGCGGCGTAAGCTGAAGTACAATAGCAAGCTATTGTAGATACTCACGACCTGAGTATCCCGACAGTAAGTCTGACCACTATGCGCCTTCACAGGCAGGCAAATAGCTAACTTGGTCTATTATATCATCGCAGTCTCATAATGTGAAAGTGAAGTGAAGTAATACATGCTAACTTCAGTCTTACTCTCATATAAGGAGTGGAAGGCCTTTATTCACTGTGCCGACTTTGTTGTTCAATCTTTCACTCTACATCTATCGTTCACATCTTCTCTACATTATATCCATTTCCACACATACTCGCTTTAGTAACAATATGAACGTTTAGATCATCCTTTCTTCAATATTCATGTCAGAAGCAGGGACAATTTGCTGCTATGGAGACTGCTATGTCTTCAGAGCAGACCGTTCAATATTTCCGCTGGTGGGCTCGCTCAAGAGGAAATTGACTTTTTATGCATCCAACGCTTCCTTCAGAGATGAGTATGCCAAAAAACAACTGTACGGAAGAAAGACCATATTCGCTTTCGGTTTTCATGAGAAGTTTCGGGACTTAGTCTTTCCGGAGACACCTAGAGGTGGCGACACAATGTCTTCTACTTGCCACTCTGGATACCACAAGATCATTAAGGTATGACACCCAAAATATTTTCCTTCATCTTGAACTGGGCTACAGCTAACACCAAGTCTCCCGACAAGTCAAGAAGACCTACTTTAGCTTTGGGTGAGAAGTTCAAATGCAACGCAACGCACGCTCACCTTACTTTTTCATTCTACACTCCAGCGGGTTTGCTGTCTGCAAGACACAAAATGAGGTCAGCGTACGCTCAGCTCAATTTCACTTTACACTCAATCCAGTGCCATTATACAGAAGAAGGCTAGAGATTGCAAAGAATTCTCTACACATGTCTGCTTATCAATAAGCTCTTTTCATTTGAAGGGACGCGTATGTTAGGCCAATACTTTGGTCTGAACCAGGCCCTATCCGTCCTATGGCGGATACAATATTCGTCGAACAAGCTCGGATCAACAAAGTTCCTATTTTGCGACTCATCCAGGGCACTCACGACTCCGGAGATTAAGGACCGAGTGATCGGCTCTTTATGGGACATCATCACACCTTTATATCTCGTTAGCACTTTCACATATTTCTCCTATAATTTGGAGGACGTGCGCAGAAGAGTTCCAAGAACCAAGTGAAGAAATTTGAAGAGAAGCGCCACGTAAAAAAAAACTCTGAATATATGCAGATATTGCAAAATGCTAGACAAATATCTACCAGGCAGCACCAGTGATTTGGGAAAAAACATCAGGATGCGTACCTAGGTATGCAAACTTGGATGTACGTGCTCTAAGCCTGGGAGAAGCTGCGATTGTTTGCACCCATTGCCAGCGGGGCAATAATACTCTCAACAAGAATGTTGACTACGGTGGTTGTGTCGCACTTCGGCATCAAGACTCCTACAAACCTCCAGTTGGCGATGGACTAATCAGGTTCGAGGAGGCAGAACGAGTTTGCTACAAGTGCAAGCAGCATCCTCGAAGTCATCCCATTGTTGGCATGTGCCTGCCTGCACAGCCTGCAAACAAACTAGGATGCTTAATCCATCCACGTATACAGCAAGATGCTGAGCTGGAAGTTGGCAGTGAGCTCTTTTTATTCGATGAAACTCTGTAAGTATACAGTGGTATACTTCACACCGGTATCAGGCTGCCCTTGTGGGACTGAGGATACCTCTTCAGATTTAGAGCTGTGTAGTTTTGAACCCGAAGCCTCTAGCAGCAAACCACTTCTCTTAAATTCCGAGGTCATCCTGGAACTCAATTTGATCTCCTACCACAGGCAGTCTCATCGAAAGAAAGTACCCGCCGCCCCATCGACTAGAAGCTCAAAAGATCGCACGCTCTCGCATTCCCATAGATGAAGCCCAGGTGAGCGCTCGTTCGCGCATTCCCATCCGTAATGTTGAAGATCAGGCCAGCGCACATTCCCACCATCTCATCGATCAAAAATCTCAAATGAGCACACGCTCCGCGAATAAGATAGAAAGGCCCCTACCTAGGGACCAGATAGCCCGCCTGCAATTTATCCGGTGGTATATTTGAAAGATGTCTTGCCGAGATGTACTTTTGTTTTTTTATAAACTTGAAAAGTAAAAGGAATGGAGATCCTCCTCAACGATGACTCAATGCTGTGGTTTAATTGGATAGTGGCGGAATCTGACTATTGTCAATTGATATCCTATTGATTGAGGACTAAGTGGGTTAATGCAATTGATGAAGGCACTTATTAGTCCAATTAGTAAATCACCCGAAGATGTGTTGTTGTGCTGTCTCCGCAAGCCGAGGTCCATTTTGCGGGGAAACAATCTTGTACAGAACATCAACTTTATTTACCAGTAACATTTTTTATTTATTTCCTTCGTCATACTTGAACAATGAACGCTCCACCCCTTCGAGGAGTTCGGGTTATTGAGTTAGCTGGTCTAGCTCCAGGTACAGACATGTGGACGAGAATGTATTTCCACGACCGATTCGATTAACTCTTATAGGTCCTTTCGCTGGTCTCCTTTTAGCTGACTATGGTGCGTCAGTCGTTCGCATTGACCGCCCAAATGTAGCGAGCAATGATTCACTTGCACGACGAAAAACATCCATAATCATTGATCTACGCGATGCGAAATCGCGCGATGTTCTACTACGTCTTCTTACGGCTGCCGATGTCCTAATCGACCCATTTCGCCCAGGCGTCTTAGAGCGTTTCGGTCTATCACCAACAGAAGTAATGCTCAAACGCAACCCACGACTTATCGTTGCGCGAATGACCGGTTTCCGCCGTGACGGTAAATACAAAGACATGGCCGGCCACGACATCAATTATATTGCCGTCTCAGGCGTACTCTCCATGCTAGGTCGAGCCGGTGACAGGCCATACCCACCGGGAAACATCCTGGGTGATTTTGCCGGTGGTGGAGCAATGTGTTTTTTAGGAATTATACTAGCACTTATTTCACGCTCTCATACCGGTCGTGGCCAGGTTGTCGAAGCTAACATGGTCGATGGCTCGGCATACCTAACTACCATGCCCCGACTTGCGCGCCAGAATCCCACATGGGCTCAGCCACGGGGCGAAAACCTGCTGGATGGCGGCTGTCCGTACTACGATACATATGAAACCAAGGATTCTGGGAAATACTTCGCTATCGGGCCGTTGGAGCCACAGTTTTATGCTGCTTTACTGCAAGGGTTAGATCTTGATCCTAGAGATCTACCTGCTCGTGAGAATCGTGAGAATTGGTCTATTTTACGGGATGTTTTTACTCGGCGCTTTAAGGAGAAAACTCGCGCTGAGTGGGAGAAGATCTTTGATGGGACTGATGCTTGTGCGACTCCTGTTTTGGAACAGAGTGAGCTTCAAGCTAAGGGGTATGAACAGCGTCCGGCAGTTCGTTTGTCCCGGACACCGGCTTTCCCTTTCAAGGTTGATGAGGGTGGTTGGACGGGAGGGGTGCTGATACCTGGTTCTGGAGGTCTAGAGACTCTTCGAGCGTGGATGGGATGGGAAGAGAATGATCTCCAGATTCGTCAGGATGGATCACTTGTTATGCCAGATGGCAGAGCGAAGCTATGAGTGAGATATGTGTGTGATTACTCTGTTTCTATTGATCCTCATATTGATATTTGCTTGTGTCTTGAAGTATGAGGATCTATAGAATGACTTTGAACTCGCATTATCATTAAGTTTCTTCGCTTGAGCCCTGGACATATTGCAATACCCTTCCAATAGTATGCCTCAACACTGGTCATGCACAGCCTACCTTCCAATTCGAGTATCCACCTCGTAGTTATAGTATGTAAGCAACTCTGTCTAATTTTGTTTCCAGCCCTAGTTTCAAGGTTCGCAAAATCTTCCATCCTCTGGGGCCGGCGACCCTAGTGACCAGCCTCCATGTCTGGGACAAGATTAAGGAGCACGCTGGATCCTCGATGCTAAGAATTCTTCAAAGGGTCACATGACCTGTAACTTAATGAGGAAATTACTCCAGTGTCATTGTGCATTTGTCCTAGACTATTCAACTCTCAAATCTAAGTAAAGCTTCAAGACCAGAACTATTGAAACATGTTGACGTCACAACGTCTAATAAAACCTCAACTCCACTTGAAAACCGAAATACCACCCCACGCCTTGGGGCTGTGGCGCAGTGATACATTGGTATTGTAATTACATAGTGATCCTACACTTCATACTATATAGCACGTGTATCCCAAAGTCAACGCTAAATACTTCCAAAATCCCTTAACTCAATAGTTTAGTGGCTCTACCCTTCAAAATTTGCTTCACGTCTGGGAACTATCGGAGTCTATGTCCCAAGTGGGTAATCTCCGCGTACATCTCCAGAATATGGGGCCATAAATCCCGGTACTCAGTATCTAACAGTAGAATACTTCCAAGTTTCTCTAGACTGAAAAGTGACCTGTTGCTCTCATTTCACTTATTGGAAAAACTAGAAAACTGCTCAGATGTGCCCAATCTTGGCCGATAACTGGACAAGTGACGTTGATGTAGCTAGCTAGGTGCATCCTGGTCATTCTACGCACCCTGCAGTACCTTACACCCCGCGCTAGTCAAAAGCCCTGATCGTTTAACTAATCCACTACCAAATAGTGCATCTGTTGGTACTTTTCTTAATTGATTATTGGCGCCACTTTCGTCATGGATTTCTGTTCCGTAGAACTGTAGCCATCACACTATACAAACCTCGACACAGCTTGGAGCTTGAAAGTGATCTCCTACCTAGAAAGGTCTTGCTGCAGTTAAGCTGTTGATAGGTATGTAGGTACTAGTATCAGTATCGGTCTGAATGAGCGATGCGTCACAATGACCAGCTTTGAAGCCCTAGAAATTAGTATCCGGGCTATCAAAATAGTTTGAGTTCCAGGCCATATAAGCCAAGATTGGACAGATACCTACTATCCAGCACGCGGGATTCGGGATGTCTTGTACGTAGTAGCTCAACCCCTGACATTCATCGTAGCAGGCCAGTATTCCATGATAGACGTAATGAAGACTGGGACAGACCTAGATACCCTGTACTAAAGTGATGTGTTTTGATTAAGCATATTCCAAGGCTCAACAATTTGCACACGACGTTTGCAGATTTCCAATGTTGCCCAGATCCTCATGACGTTGTAGGGCTAGATAGGATAGATCTACTCATCTATCCAACAGGGGACTGTGTTTCAGCTTTAAGCTTCCAGGGTTCAGATAGATGAGCCCCGAATGACAATTGATGGTACCTAAGTATAAGGCCGTCTAGGTACTATATGAGGCGTGGGCTTTAACCTTATTTACAGCTAGTATCAATTGGTTCAGCTTCGAGTCTTCAGCCTTAAGGTCAACTCCAAATATAATATTCTATAGAGTAGAAGATGAAGCATGAAATGATGAAATTGTTCAACAGGTATATCTTGAAGTAACAGAATATTCGCTTGGCTACATGAGATAGTTTATTTCCTTGATTTGACCTCGGAAGCCCAGCCCTATAGCGTGTATTAGTGTATTTTTCAATACCAAACTGTGGCTGGACAATACTCAACCCCACTCAACTAAGGAGTATTTCAGGTCCGCTGTGTTCCGCTGAAATCGGCCAATCATCAAGTAATAAAGAGAGAGGTTCTCCCTACTTTATCCAATATTCCAACTTCTTCATTTTCTTCATCTTTGTTCGTTAGTCAGGGCTATTGAGGCAATCGGGTACCGGAAGGCCACACCGCGTGTTCGGGTTTGTTATAGCGGGTCCGCACCCCCAAACTCTTCCCGACTCCTCCAATCTTCTCTCTCGTCGGCAACCCATTTCCCCTTGATAACGGAAGACTCAATAAACTCAATCCATATACACCCCGCTTCAAACTTCATTTAAAAGCGGGAACCGGTGGCTGCACGTCCCGCGCTGGGCGCTGAAACCTGCAGATTGTCGCAATCATCAGCCGCGCGCATCGGATTTACAAGAGCAAAGCCTGTCTTAGAAGGCAACTTCTCTGAAAGAAAAAAAAAAAAAAGATACACTCTCACTCGGTGTTAGCCTCGCCTTTTTCTCGCCTTTCACTCCTCTCTCAATCAGATCACCAGAGAATTCTTCCGTTCAGAATCCCCCCCTCAACATGACGGAATTTCGAGTCCCTATGCACCAGGGTCCCCCTCACCGGAAGCCCCTACCTAACTCCCAGCATGGCTTCCCATATCAGCCCTATGATGCTCCCCGGACAGTAGCACCTCATTTGTCAGGACCCCCAAGCGCCCACAGTCGGACTCGCACTACCTCTTCCAACGTTTTCCCGTATGCAGGAGGCGCTCACGCTCAACATGGTCAGCACTATCAATATGCTCCTCCTCCATTAACTCCTCAACAATCCATGGCTCCTCCGATGGGCTACCCTCCATCGCGAAGAATGTCGAGCACAACCACATCCACTACTTCGACTGGAAATCAGTATATGCACGTTGACACCGATATCCGACGGAGCGCCTCAAATCGTTCAGCTAATTCTCAGCTTGGATACGTGGCCCTCATGCGGCGGCAAAAAGCGACAGTTTGGTGCGACCGAGTACAACCAGAGGATGCACGGGCGCGGGCACAGGCACTCCGTGACAAAAAGCGGGCGTACCTGGAGGTTCATGGGTCTGGACGATCAGGGACTCTCTCTAGTGGCAAGATTCGCCACGGAACCAAGAGTGGTCTTGAATTTTCGCCGTCGAATCTCGTGGGAGCGAAGGTGCCCGTGCGCCTCAGCGCTAATGAGGTGGGCGATGGCGACGAAGCTCAGAGTATTGAGGGCGGTGCTATGCACCGGCGCACTGGCAGTGGACGTAGCTCCTTGGGAAGCAATCGGTACCCTAGTGGATACCAGCGGACTCAGGGAACTATGGGCAGCAACAGCTCACCGCCGAATGAGAGAACCGACCTTCCAGGTGTGTCAGAAAACACTCATGCTGAGGTTCAGGAAGAGGAGAAATTCCGGACATCGTCTCTTCATAGGGAAGACACCGCTACCTCTCATAGTAGTGAGCAAGATGACTTTGTAGGTGATATGGAGGCACCAACTGCAGCGGCTCAAGCAGCTACAAAAGCCAAGAAGGCAGCTGATCTGCGGCGACGAGGTAGTGTCGATGAACGGACTACTTCCATGACCAATGTGCGGCTGTTCGTTGCAAATCCTGACCTCAGCGACTAAAACTCGCTGGATCCTCTTCTTCTTCTCTCTCTATATATCTCCCTCCAATTACGCAGCGTCCTGCTCCTTGACTTCTACACTTTTGCTTTTCTTTTCCCCGTTTCTCGATGATCTCCACTTTAGATTATCTTCGACGCTGCACATAATACCTCTTTTCTGCCGAATTTATCTATCTGGTCGCACTTGGTTGGCCTTGATGGCTGGACCAAGTGCATTGTTTGTGACAATATGCCTTTTCTTACAGGCCTTTCCATCTTGGCCTTCAGGGCTTATACTTTCCCCCACATGTATTGGGATAATAATTTCAAGAGTTCAATACAAGATATTTCTTTCATAACAAAATTATAGGAAATATGCATGTGATACAATGTTAGGCCTAATGGACAGTAAAAGTATACGCCTCACAAGCGTAAGTAGAGATGAAAAGGAATGAATCGAGCGTGCCACTTGAAGCTTGATATATTGAATGCCGGAACGGAGTATCATTAACCCGATGCACTCAACACTTTAATCCGCGACGCGAAGTCCTAATTAACGCGTCTCACCGCTCGGCTTCGACATCATCCTCACACTTCTGCACCTAAGCTTCCAAAACCCAGCGTTGTCTCTTTGATTGATGATTCCATTAAACACTTGGTTTGCTGATGACAATCACCTTACCTTAAATATTATCTTAACCTGCCTCAATTGTTGGGCGTAATGGACTCAAAAATGAGTCTATCTCCTCTTCCTCCAGCCGGATCATTCACAGCATCTCCTTCATCAAGACCTCGAAAAAGATCTATTCATGAAGTTGAAGATGCTTCCTTACCTTCTGTTGGCCCTAAGCGAGCACTCACCGAACTCAACGAAGAAAACCAGGAGAATCAGAATCCAGTCCCAACTCACCCGAAAATCGATGCATCCCTATCAATGAGACAGACAGTTGTCTTACCCCCTCCTCCATCAGTAATTATCCCAATGAAGAAGACCAACGGCGAACCAATACTATCGCCTGTCAAGAATCAAACCGTCGATCAGGCGCCTTCTACATCCCTTTCCACAACAGATGTGACAATCCCCCTGCCTGTTACCAAGCCTTTGCCTGCGAACAAAGAAGCAAAGCAACAGGAAAAGGAGGCCCGAGAGCGCCAGAAGCTAGACGAAAAGTTGAAGAAGGAAGTAGAGAAACGGCTCAAGGCCGACGAGAAGAAGAAGCGTGATGCGGAGAAAGAAGAGGAAAAGAAGAAGCGTGATGCAGAGAAAGAGGAGGAGAAGAAGAAGCGCGAGACTGAGCGAGAGGGGAAGCGCAAGGCCAAGGAAGAAGAAAAGGCAGCCAAGGAGGATGAGAAGCGACGAAAGTCGGAAGAGAAATTGAAGAAGGACCGAGTATGTGGCAGTAAAATTGATAGTTCCCCGGATCTCCACTAATCTCTGTACTCTAGGCTCAACCCAAGTTGAATGCTTTCTTTGTCAACCCGAAAACAACCTCATCTTCTTCTACAGCCCCGCATATGGCCCCATCACCAGCCCAAGAGTCTCCCGCCATCGGCTCAAATACTGCTGGTACTCTACAATCAGACTATTCCCAAGCGTTCCCAGATTTCTTCCTCCAATCCCATACTACCCTTGCTCCCACAAATCGCTTCGAGCGTGACTCGGAAGCCCTGCAGCACGTTCTTCAAACAATTGACGATTCCTTGAACCAAAATGACAACTGCGAGACTATACCATTTCGTCCTTCTGATATATTTCATCTTATCCCGTACAAACGACGCCCAGCTCATCCATCTCCTTCTGTCAAGGATATCTTGCTCCAGATCCGCAACATGAATGAAAAGACCACCGATTCTGACACTATGGATGTGGGTATCCTTTCTAACCCCCATGAACTTCTCCAAAAAGTCCCTGTCAAGTCGCTCAAATTCACGGAAGATGTCCGCCCACCTTACCAAGGAACATTTTCTCTTAATCTTTCACAGGATGTTGCGAAAAAGATCGCATTAAATCCCTATTATCAGGGCCTACCGGGCGTCGACTACGTGTACGACTCGGAGGCAGAATGGGAGGAGCCTGGAGAAGGCGAAGACCTTGATTCGGAAGAAGATGAAGAGGCCAGTGACGAAGACGAGGACGATATGGATGGGTTTTTGGATGATGCGGATGATGATTTGGCTGTGACTGAAAAGAAGCAACGACCCATTGTGGGCGATCTTGAACCTCGTTCCAGTGGTATCCACTGGATAGCTGATGGTACTGATCCAGAACTACAAGCCCATTGTATCGAACCCCTCTCCAATCTTGTCCGGGTCTCTATTGACCCGTTCTCCACGGCGTATTGGAAGCAACCAAAGACTGCGGCAAAGACTGCAGCAAAGACTGCTGCAAAGACTGCTGCAAAGACTGCTGCAAAGACTGCTGCAAAGGCCGTGGCAAAGGCAAATGTAAAGGCGGCAAATGAAACTGCAAAGTCGGCAAAGGCAGCAGCTAAGACAACAGCCAAGTCACCGCCAAAGGTTGCCCTACCCAAAGGCCAGCAATCTCTTAGCGATGTTATTCTCAAACCTGGCTCGACTCCGTCTGCAGCTGAGAAGATTGTACCGGCGGTGAAAGTCAAACAAGTCAAACCGTTCCCCTCTGATAAGTTGGATGAATTCAAGGGCGTGGTCAATGACAATGGCGGTGTCAGCAAGATCGGAATGGTAGAGCTGCTCAAAGCACGGTAAGTGCCCTATTCTCCATTATACCATGGCGTATAGTTTGAGCCCGTACTAATCCATGCTACAGATTCCGCGGCGTTGCAACCAATGACACATTGAAGGCCACCCTGGACCAGGTGGCCAAGCGTGTTGGCCAGAAAGAGGCTGACAAGAAATGGGTACTCTTGTAAGTCCCGGCTCATAGTTCCGAACTAAGTGATGAAAGGAGGATTGTGCATCTGTTATGTCTCATGATTTGTTCTACTACGACCTGACACTGGTCAATGGATGAGAGTGAGAAGTTGAGTTTTAGCCAGCGAATGTATGAAGTATGAATACCAGCTTAGATGAATCCGTAGTACTCCTTGATATGCAAGTAGACTCATCCTGATTGCCTAGTAGATGCGATGTCACGCAAACTAGATCGAATAAGCAATTGGGAATCTAAACTTAATCGTGTTCACTGCTCATTTAATCGGTGTAAGATCAGAGTTAGATTAACGTACACGACTGAACTGCATGTAGTAATTTTATTGGAGAGAAGAAGCTGACTCCGCAGAGACCAAGAGGGGGGGCGGTGGGCGAATCAAAAGCAATAGTAAGGCTGTCCACCTCATTCCTGCATGCATTGCCAACGCATCGTGTCCGAGTATTCGGTACTTACCGCCAGTGTACTTGCGCTTGAATCTCACAATCTCCATTACTGTTCTTTACTGTTAATACACTTTTCACCTTGTACTACTTACTTAGTTCCGAGACAAATCTCAATCTGCAACAGTCCGCTTCGAGTCGCTATTCTCTTGACCTGTGATTTTATACCACGTACTTCTCCTTCTTCTCCTCCCTTCTCGCTCTCTTCATCCCTTCTTTCTTCTGAATCTATCCACCCTGGAATCAAATCACTTGGCCCCCGACCGGGCTTGTCCCTCTCATGAACATTTTCCTTGCCCCGCAATAGAACCATGCGATAAGGCCCCACCCACGGCCAGGAGCATTTCGCGACTGGCAATTTGGGATAAAATGGTGGACCAGAAAGAGTTAGAGGATCATCCCTCTCCGACTTCAGTGATTAGTATGTTGGTCATATCGATTACTTTTCGGTGCCTGAATTTAATCCAATCTGATCGACAGCCGTGCGGATTCCCCTTCAGCCCAATCCGCCATGTGACCAGTCGCATGAAGATCCCACAACGGTGCCTCTTCCCCCTTCACCAGTGTCGCCGCTAGCTACCCCTCCCCCTATACTGTTTTCGCCCGCACACGAGGCGGACCCTAACGTGGGGCCAGAGCCAGAGCTAGGTGAGCTAGGTGAGTTTGGTGGCTCGGGCCGTTCCAGTCCCATGTTTATGGCCAACCTCCTTGAGTTTGACTCACTCCGCGCAACTACAGCTCCCACGATGCCCGTCTCCAAGGATGTTGATGTTGCTCCTCAAGTCTTCTTTGAGGACTTTGCTATTCGATACCGCCAGAGCCAGCGCAAACAGGCTCAGAGGAAACGACTTGAAAAGCGTCTGCGGGCCATCAAGGTCTCTATCGGTGTTTCTGCGCGCTTGATTCGCATTGGTAGTACTGTTCAGAGGGGTCTAGTCGAAGCTCTCAAACAGGATGACAAGGCTAACTTCGCTGCCCTTTATCATATGCTCTATGATCTTCAGGAGTCCTGTTCTTCCATCTCGGAATGCGATAACCATGATGAACTAGAATCCTCGCATGAGATGAATCATTCCTCGGATTTCTTTCATCAGCTTAGCCCCCAGTCTCGTTCAGACCTGCTGGATATTCTGCGACTGGTTCGTTCTGACCCACAGTTCTTGGTCGACCGTCTACGCAGCCTGACCCCTTCTCAACTTGCCACTTTGACTGCCCCGGCCACCACTTTGGACCCCGGTGACCCTGCTTTTCCTTCTTCTTCTTCTTCTTCCCGCCCTCGGGGTCAATATCCTTTTAATCGAACCTATGTCCAGACCGCCTCCTTTAAGGACCACGCGTATGCTTTTGAAAGGACCGATCCACTGTCAATATTGCTTTGTAACGTTTATGCCGCGCCAATGGAGCCAGAGTCGCCGGAAGCGAGATTGCAGATGGAAACATGGTCGTCCGTCTGTGCCCAACTAATGAGCCACGGTAGCAGTAGATTCTACCCTCTTATTGGCCAGATTCTTTCCTCATGGGCCGCTGGCAGCAACTGGAAAGCTCGCCCCAAGTTTGAGCTCTACCTCATGGATATCCTGCAGACCGGAGCGTTTCTACTGGAACCTATAGATGCCCCTGCCGGGCTGGACTTTTCCACAAGTACATTGGATCCTCTCCGAACGGAAGTGGCCGAGGAGTTTTTTGCTTCCGCCGTGGATGATTTGTTCCGAGTTCTGGATGATCCCGATGGTGGCTTTCCTTGCACTGTCTTGAAGTTTGCCAAAGCTGTTCTGGGGAAATTGAATAACCCTGAGAGCCGCAGCCGATTTATTGAGTATTTGTTTTTACAGTGGTTCTTTCCCAAGTTCCTCTACAGCGCTTTGACATACCCCGAGGTAGGTTATCTTCTATCTCCTGAGTTTAAGCTGATTCTGACCGCGGATCCTTTCTTCTTTAGACATTTGGTCTGCTACTCGACTTTTATATCTGCAAAGATGCTCGTGATAAACTACTTAACCAAGTTGGATTGCGGGCCTACTCTCAAGTATTTGCGGTTTTACGCTCTATGTAAGTTTTATTTTTTCTCCCTAATGAGTTGAGATCTGACTGAGTTACTCTTCTAAAGGCCCAATTTCTCAATTCTTCGTCTCTCAGTCAGGGAAAGAGTTGAAAATATGCTTTCACGATTCAACACGGCTTCCGCTGATCCTACGGCTCCTGATCCTTCAGCTCCATTATCCGATTGCCCGAACCATCGCAACTCCTCGAAATTCTTGTTGTTGTCTTCCACGGATATGCTTACTATAATAGACGCCCTCTACCCAACGTGTTATTCCTCGCATCATACCTCTCCTTCCTCCGTCGGAATCCATTCCTGGTCGTTCAATATCCCAAGACCCTATAGTCCTCGATTGGAGCCGTTTACGGAGCCCAATGTTGTACGTTCAAATCATAATACCAGTCCACGGCCTACTTCCCAAAATGGATCTATCCTTTCCATGGAGTCTTTATCCGGCTCTGCCTCTGTTCCTGAGCCTGGGCCTGGACAAATTGCTTCTCGCATCCGCTTTGAGTTGACAGATCTGGACGATCTGAACGAGCGACCGAAGCTGGAGCACCCCTCCGATGAGCACTGGGCGATATTTTCCATCTCCAAAGATGGCAGAGGTTTGACCTGGAGCTTACTACCAGACTGGGAAGCTGGCTCGGCAGAGGTCTCGGGTATAGAAAGTGATGATGATACACAATCTACTACCTTGGGCCTTGAAGACAATCACGAGGCTTTGCAGACAGCTATTGTTCGGCTAATCAAGGAAGACCACGTTTATTATTATGATGATTATGATCGGCTGTCTAGTTCTGCACAGCGAGATCCCATGTCATTAAAGAACCGGTTCTATCGAGCCATGGCTGCTGCCCATAATAGTTTTGACTTTGTGGGGGAGCACTACTGGTGGAATTCGTCACAGCAGCTACGGCATGGGCGCGCTGGAGAGTCATCCCCTGTCGCTCCTGATTCATGGATTCTACAGCCTATGCATGACTCCAGCGTTCGCTCCTTGGACAAGTCACGAGCCGTCATTGAGCGCTGTGAGCAAGACTCGGTGTCTCTGGATCAGAGTCTTCGGCGACTTCAAAGCCAGATCAAGGAGCTTATGGCCACTGTTTCAAAGGTTCGCAATAAAATGTGGTACATGACAGATGTCAAGAACTCCAACAGATACGAAGAAGCCAGGCATGTGGCAATGGCCCTCAAAACGATGATCTACTCTCCACGATCCAGTGCCGCGATGCCTGACGAATCGAGATCTCGCAGCGGACCTCGATCATTGGGGGGATCCCTCTTCCAGAAGCCTGAGCTGCAAGTCATGAACATGATGAGAGCACCAAACAGCCAAGGTGGCCCGAAGAAACTATCAGACGAGCAGGTTGAGCTCACACGCAAGTGGCTGTCTCACAATGCGATCGAAAACTTTTGCAAAGGCGAGGAGAGGATCCACCGGTTCTGCTATGAAGTACGTGCTAGCATCACCCGTCTTGTCGGTGAGACCATGGCAGAGACACCGGTATTGTGGGCGAGCGAGTTATTCCAGAAAGAACGGACCAGATACGAAGGCTACGGTGCTCGCACCTTTCCTGGAATCCCCATGGCGACAACTCCTCGCTCCTCGACGACTACTAGTGAGGATCCGCTGCATTCATCACATATCCACAGTCCCGGATCCTCCATCCCCGAATCGCTGTCTCGGTTTTCTCAGGATATTCCGTCATTGGAACACAAGCCGTCCATCCAGAGTTTAATGTCTGACAGCTGGAGACTGCAACGGGAAGTACCTTCCATTGATGTAAGCTCTGTCGGAGGATCGCCCACTCGTGCCGCGTCTACTTCAACCGGTGATACCTACAGCACGTTCTGGTCTGCACCTTTTCGCCATCAAATGTACGCCGCCAGCGTCTCAAGCGCATACTCCCGACCTCCGTCAATGTTTAGTGATACCGGAGCACGGCATCTTCGCCGTTCCGACCGTAAGACCCAGGGAAAGACTGCTTTCATAGACAGTCTGAAGCAGACGCTTACCAGTCTCCTTCTGAGCGATCTCGGTTCTCCGGTTTGGAGCTGCGGCAGTGAGACAGATGCGTGGTTTGCCAATACCATTGACCAGAACCGCATCCGGATGGAGATGCAAAGGCGGGCTGCTGTGCAGAACTTCTACTCTCGCTATGACGAACGGGCCAAGCATCTTCGTGAGCAGCGTCGGCCTACAGGGGCTCGCCGGAGCAGGTCTCTCGATACCCCAAGTCTGCGTACGCGCAAAAACCAGGATAACGGGGCTTCTTATAATTCCGAAGAAGAATCATCGACTAAAGATGATAGGCCAGAGTTCTCCTACAAGACAGTCTTCTACCGTTTGATTGAGGTATTCTCGCGCCATGGTAATCCGTTTGTCAAACTTGACGCACTTCGAGATCTGAGATCGTTGGTCGTGGCCTCGTTGATCTCAGGACCGGACGCTTCTTCTTCTAATATGGCGGGTGTGAGACCCGTGTCTCCTGAGACAGACAGGGTGCGTGACAACTGCCCTAGATCACGCACCAGTGCAACGCGCCACAGCTTCTCGGCGCGCTGTGCAACTACAAACTCACAGATTGGCACGGCGCCGGCCACGGCGCCGGAGTTTAGCGCCCGTACATCTCACAGATCCGAACCGTCCGATGAACAAATAGTCACCGCCCTCCGTGAATTGATCCTGGATGTCAAGCCCAAGACGCTCTTCCGGGATCTTCAGTTCATCTCGGCTTTCGTTCCTGCGGACCAACTCAACAACACCGACCACGGCACAGCTTTCCTTCAGTTTGGCCTTGCTGCGCTGAGCCTCAAGGACGAGGTATGTCACAGTATGGTTGAAATCGCGGACCGGATCGTGTCTCGGGAGTTTATGCGACGACATCCACCTGAATCGGAATTCTACCCGCGACCAAGCCATGCTATCGAAGATGCAGCGGCCATGTGGATCATCACCGCCAAAGAAGGCAACGCAGTCGCACAACGTGAGCTGGCCATATTATACCTCACCCACCCCGAGATGCTCCCCCGTGTAACTCTTCCACTTACTCGGCCACGGGATACCTTCAAAGCGGAGATGATGTACAGACGTGGTAAGGACCCCAAGTTTGACCCACAGAGTATGTGTCTGGCACTGCACTGGATGCAGCTGTCAGCAGCAGGAGGTGATATATTGGCATGTAATCGACTCCGTGAGCGTGAAGAGTTCGATTCTATAGCGTGACGGGTTATACTTTCTCTTTTTCTACTCTATCAGACCGTCAAAACCCTTTTACTGTTTCATTTTCATTTCTAGACAGGGCAGGCCTTGGCTATTTGCATATACAGATACCCCCCCCTTTTTGGGCGATTTATCTGGTGTTATGGGGATTTCATTTTTATAACTTGTTCAACATTGCCTGGCACGGCGTTTCTAAATGCATTGAAAGGGGAAAATGCCTTTGCTCTAATTATTGAAGATTTATGATATCTATTGCCACAAGATAATAGACTGTATATTTCCTAAAGCAGTAGTGAAGCGGTACTTAAATATAATATAAGGTCAGGCGCCAAGTCCGACGTCATCGAGCACCACGTGAGAAGTTGAACTTCAGCTGACAGTTTAACTAAAGGACTTCAATTTATAAGATTCAAGATCTTCAACTCTCCTCAGCCCCACTTTCCAAGGTTCCAAAGGATCCGTCTGACACTCTTAATCTCCTTCTCTTCTCCTTCCTATCCCTACGCCCGTTTGAAAATTGGACGGCAAGCTCATCCTGTTCCATCCAACCATGACTACCGCACCGCATATGCCCGCGAAGGCGCACAGCAGCGACAACGTGCACCATCGGCCAAAAGGTAACTCGTGGATCTTCAGACCAAAAAAAAAAAAATTAAGGAGTTAACGTTAACAACATAGGTATCCTAAAGAACAACTCTGAAGTCTCAGTTCCCACAGTCATGCCAACAACCGTGCCTACGATTCCCGAATCCGAAACGAAGGACATAACCCTTCAAAACACCCTGCAGAACGCCGGCCCCCGTCGTCTTTCATCCGCACGACCGGGATCTTCGGCCCGCCGCCAGTCAGCCGCAAGTGTCTACGACGACAACGAGCCCCGTCTCAAGTGGGACGAAGCGAACCTGTACCTGACCGAGCAGGAGCGGACGGCGAAAATGAAGATCGACGAGCCCAAGACTCCCTATGCCCCGCACTACGACCCCACCGAGGACGACGAAGAGATGCAGCTTGCTGAATCTCAGGATGCGCTTATTAATTCCCAGGGCGTTATTGTCGATGAACTCGACCGTAAGAAGGTTTCCGAAGACGAGATTCCGGAATTCGAGCTCGGCGAGCCAGAGGAATCACCTCCAGTCGCCGAGGCTGCTCCTGACCAGCGCATCTATCGCGATCGGAGTATGAGCAATGAGTCGGCTAAGAGTGAGAAACACGTTCATGTTGGTACTGAGCCTGTTGATAATGACGATGGGCTCGTCACGACCGATGAAGCGAAGGAAAAGCATCGCAAGTTTGAGAAACAGCGGAAAATGCACTATGAGATGAGAAATATCAAGGAGTTGCTCGCGTATGATCTTGCCGTTCAACCCAAAACCTGGTTGTTGCATGCTAATACTGTTTTTCTAGTCACCCGGAGGACGAGGATGAAGATGACGAGATGACTGGAGCGTAATAGATGCATTACATGCTATCGTTCTTATCTGATTTTCCCCGCCTCTAATGCAAGAAACGCTTTCATGCCTTTACGATGCGGTTGAGTCCTGATTTCTGTTCTCAGATCTTTTGTGCAACTCCATGTATTATTCCCAACGCTTCTTTTTTGTCACTATTATTTTTGCTTTAAATACAGCCTTTTTTCGTTTCTCAATAACTTTCAGACTGTTTTCCCGCTTCTGTTGGATTCCATGGATTCAGTTCCAGGCACGCCGCTTATCTATGGCGACTCTCTACTACCTTTCTCTACTATCTTTATTGTGTGGTGAAGCTCGGTACTTTCGGTTTGCTTTTGATTGAGATACGAATCTTGAATAAGTCAAGACGACAGATGAATTTCACAGGTGAATTTCCAAACAGTTCAGGGGTTAGCCCTAACGATTCAAATGTCCAGTAATGACTTTCTGCGGAAGCATTCCCAGGCTGAGCTGGAACTATTAATAACCTAGGTAAATCACTGATCTCACAGGTCGGTATATGTACTTCAAAGCTTTCAAGGTTGGATTTGGAATGTCTGTTTCTCCGGATGTCATATCCCCGCTGAATCCCGTGGTCACTTACGCCATGATATGGAATATGGCGACCTCCAGATAAGCACCTAGCTCGAACGCTTTGTAAAATCGGCAGTTAGTATCGGTTCCCACCATTGCTATTTCCCCAGGTGTTCAAGCTAGTATATTTTCCAAACTTGATCCCTCCGGTAGCACGCAATAAACTTGTGTATTATGTGCTATAGTGACGATACCCACGTGAAATATCGCGAATTGGCTGGCAATGAATCCATATCTATAGAACCCCCTGTTTTCTCTGAAAGTGGAAATTTATTTGTTTAGAGTTGACATCTTGGCAGCGTTATTTGGTGGTTGACATCTTGGAGCCACGGCTCGAGCTAACAACACCATGGCGTCCATATACCGAAATGAACCGGATGAGTCGATTCAGAAAAGTGCCTCTGCTTTTAGAAAATGGCTGCGTGTTTTCGCGTGGTATCCATCAAGTTATTCTAAGAAGGAAAGACGTCTGTTGATCAAGTTGGACCTGTTTGTTCTGCTTTATTGCTGCATGAACTGTAAGTGCTAATTCTTGGAAATATTGGCACTGATATGACGGTTAACTGACAGAACCTTAATAGTCTTTACCAAATACCTCGACCAGACTAATGTCACCAATGCGTATGTCAGCGGTATGAAAGAGGATGTACGTATACTCTGATCACCTCTCGACATGGCTAGGCAGCTTACCCGATTTCTACAGTTGAATATGCAAGGGGACGAGCTCAACCTTTTCACAACATTTTATGTCATTGGCTATGTCATATCCCAAGTTCCGGGCGTGCTTCTCCTGACAAGAAATGCCGCACCCTACGTCCTCCCAGTCTGCGAGCTTGTCTGGGCTATTTTGACATTGTGTCAATCCCGAGTCACCAAGGTGCAGCACATGTACGCTATTCGCTTTCTGATCGGATTCGCTGAAGGCCCTACATTCCCTGGTATCCATTTTATTCTGGGCTCGTGGTACAAGAAAGGTGAGTGGACGGATATTCTCTAGCTGTGCTGATTCGAAAGCCAACTGACTTGAGCCTTTTACAGAGGAGATACATAAGCGTGCTGGCATTTACTTCGTCAGTAGTTGTCTCGGTACTATGACAGCTGGATATCTACAGTCGGCGGCATATAAACACTTGTCGGGTGTTAATGGATATAAAGGCTGGCAGTGGTAAGTGCGGTGCGTAAATTGGATTGGCATCCGACTGACAAGCTTGAAGGCAATTCCTTATTGATGGAATTTTTACACTTCCAATCGCAGTGGCAGGCCTTCTTCTATTCCCTGGTATCCCATCGAACCCTAAGAAATTTTATTTCACGGAAGAAGTAAGTTTACCTCCTTTCCCAAGTTGCTATTTGGGATTGGTACTCACAGATTGATCCACAGGAGTATGCCTTGAGTTCTTCCAGATTGGAGAGAAAAGATGAGAAGAAGCCTAATGCCACCAAGATTGAATGGGCGCTCTTAAAGCGTGTATTTCTGCGCTGGCACTGGTGGTTCTTCGTTATTCTGTGGAGGTAAGATCTGCTTCTCACTGCTCTCACGGACATTCGAATTAAATATTTCATAGCCTTTGTCAACTTCAATCCGCCGGTTCGAGTTATGGTATGATATACACCGCTCACAATCATTGGCCAAACTAACGAGAAAATAATTTCAGCTCTTCCTCTATGGTTAAAAAGCCAACCTGAGAGATTTAGTGTGCCACAGATCAACAACCTACCAACCATTACGACTGGCATAACTTTGATCTCTGGATTCCTCGGTGCATCTATGATCGACATCTTCCCAAAAGAGCCAATTGTTCTTACTATACAGGTATGGATACGGTCCTGATAATCAATTCCAAGGTTTCTTTAATATAATCAATACTAAGAACAAACCAATTTAGCTCCTCATGCTCTTCAGCAATATCTGCCTCTCCGTCTGGAACATCCCAGATGGACTCCGGTAAGTGCCTACAATCAATACACCGACCTTTTCCACACAACTAAGAAATTATTTAGTTTCTTCTGCTATTTCATCACTGGCATTGGTGGCCCCATATCTCCCATCTTCAACTCTTGGGCCAATGACGTCTGTCGAAACGATGCTGAAGAGCGAGCCGTCGTACTCGCTAGTATGAATACAATTGGCTACAGGTAAGTTACATAGCAAAGCTATTAATTATTTTGCTTTGTATTGAGTATCTACTAATCAACCTCTTCTCACAGCTTCCTGGCTTGGGTTCCGCTCCTCATTTGGCCCACCACACTAGCTCCAAAGTATCGTGTTGGTTTCATTACTAATAATGTCTTCGTCGTGCTTGCGGCTATCACTTTTATCATTGGAACTATTCTTGACAGGAAGGAGAAAAAGAAGCAGCGACTTTCGGCAAGAGATTCAGATGATGAAGATCAGACAATTGCGGTTGTTTCACCTGACGTTAAAGGTCAGACTGCCTAGCTATTTGAAACATGATTTCATCTATGTATGCATGAGTCAAGTGTTCTAGGTAGCTCGATGTATGGAGTAGTATACTACCTCTCCCTTTTGGAGCTTTCCTATATGCTGGTCGCTCAAAGTTCAGCTCACTAATTAGTAATTTCCCATCTGGACTGAACACTTGCCAAGGTACTCTTTAGCCGTCTTTCGTCCCTGCCTAGGTGATGTTGATCTGTAGGTATCTTGATCAGCCTAATGTCTCTAGGGCTATTGAAGGCCATTCCAGTAGTCTATAGACCCTTCAACCTCTTATTCCAGAAATTCAATAATTCTGCCAGTTGTACTGAAATAAGGGCCAAATGTGAGCTGAAACAAGAGTTTGACCAAGTAAACCACTTCATGCGCATTTTGTGGCTCACCTGCATGCTTCTAAGATCGCCGTACACCCTGATCTCAGCCGATCATTTCCTTTCAGGAAAATTGGGGTTTAGATTTATTTACCGGTAAATCTAAGCTAAATATATCCAAGCAAAAAGCGGCAATTACTAAAACGACAAGTGATCTACATAAACAATGAATTTATCAGATGACATATGAGAAATTGAAGTCAAGAAATTGAAATTCTGGAAACAAGGCGTACGTCTTTACATATCATCCCTCCGCGACTTTCTCCACGGCTTCCTTGTCTAATGCGAACGGGTACTGCACCAAGGGATTTCATCACTTAGTGACCTACTACCCCTTGCGTATTTCGAAGTGAATCATAGCCAACCCTTGAACATTCTTGAGAATTATTGACGAATATTGGGACCTGCAAGGAATCTCGCTTACCACTAGCGCCTTTTTGACAATACATATAAACCGCCTTCTCTATCCCCTTTCCCCCTCTCTTTTCTTCTTCATACTTACCTTGTTTGGGTGGCTGCGCTCATGAATGCAGTTTAACCACGATTCGGTCTCCACATTGCACTACGTGGATGATCAAGTCGTCCAACGGCTTTCGGGTCTTTGGCAGGCGGATTCTTTGGCATACATATTCCTTTTTATGGGATTCTTTTTTTCCTTCATCAACTCTTGAGTCAGTGATTCGAGGTTGGAGAAGAAACGAATTTGCCAGGTCGAATACAAATGGCGTCTGTCATCAACACACACATCACGTGTTGAGGCTGGTTCATTCATTGGAATCCTGAGTTTCACTTCATATATCCCACAACACTCTACGCACTTGAAATCTTCATCTTCCTGATTTCTCCAAGACCTGAAGACTTAGTCCTTCGCATCCATTACTCACTAGTCCCTATTTGTTTTCAGGCCCCAAAACTGACAAGCCCCGCTTGTCGATTATACTCCACCGGTCTAGTACCCTAACCCGTTTCCAAACCACTCATCGTGAACACAGTTCACTTTGATTTCTTCACAATGCAAAGCGCCGGCTTTTTCCAGAATATTGATGTCACCGGAGAGAATGAAATTGTCATTCAAGACAGGATATACGGCGAGCACGTTATTACTGAGCCTATACTTGTGCAGCTTCTCCAATGCCCTGAGCTCCTGCGCCTAAAGGGCATCTCTCAACATGGAATCTCAAGCCTCCTCGGGTTCACACCCAAGGTTACCCGATTTGAACACTCGGTCGGTGCATTCCTACTCGTGCGCAAAGTCGGCGCCAGTGTGGAAGAGCAAGTTGCTGCACTTCTTCACGATATTAGCCATACTGCCCTCAGCCATGTAGTTGACTATGCGCTTTCCAAACCTGGAGAGGAGAGCTACCACGAAGTTCACAAGGCTCGATACTTGAAGACGACTACTTTGCCTCAGATCCTGACCCAACACGGGTTTGGAGATTTGAAGGCATTCAAAGAGGAGTTATTCCCACTGGTGGAAATGCCATCCCCTCACCTCTGTGCCGACCGACTAGACTACGCATTGCGGGACACAGTGGCCTTTGAGAAACTCGGCCTGAAAGATGCACAGCAGGTGTTTGCAACCGTGAAGGCGTTTCCTTCCGCCTCATTGCCTCACCGTCTACTTGTTCTCGAGGATCCACAACTAGCATTGACGCTTGCGCGTGCATACTTAGCAGCAGACCGAGATGTATGGTCGAATCGCGCTCATGTTGATATTTATAAACGAACAGGTCAGGTCATCAGAGACCTAGTTGAACAAGGGTTTGTAAAAGAGGAGACATTATGGTCTCAGTCTGATCAGGATTTCTGGGCACTGCTTCGACGTGAGGCAACACCAGAGGTTTTGCATGCAATAAACAGACTGGAAACGGAAGGACTTCCGAGCGAAGAGGGCTTGCGACTTCCAGAATGCACGAAAGTACGCACCCTGGATCCTGACGTGTGCGATGATTCACCGGGCCAGCCCTCTCCGCTGTCAATGATTCTCCCACAATGGGGTTTGGAGCGCCAGCAGTACATCTCCTCCCGACAGGCAACCCGAGAATGAGTTGATCAGGCCTCGTTATGAGTTTTGAGGATTTTATCAAGCTAGGATATCCTAACTGGGTGTGTAGAACATCTAGGGCTTGCTAGAATATCAGGGCCTTGCTAGAATATCAGGGCCTTGCTAGAATATTTGCAACCCTAGAATCTTACAATCGGGTTATCAACTCTATAATAAGCTCAATCTACCTGTGATCTTAGAATAAGAGTCCCGGTGCGTTGATAAACTCGGTATAGACAAAGGAAAATCCCGAGGTCTGCCCAGGTGTTTACTTTTTTGCCGAATCTCTCCGAGTTGGGGTTCATGATATACCGTAGTCATATCTGCTTCTTACCAGGTCGGGTCTCGCCATGAAGTGCAGAACACAATCTGATACAATATCGTCGAGACAACGATCGCAATCAAACAGTGAATCTTTAGAAAGTGAAGCCATCACCAGACTGTCTAGGGCTGCAGTCAGATTATACCTCAATGCATGGGATCATCTGGTACTGGAAAGATGACAGCAGAGAGGCAGAACTCGATGTCAAAAAGTTGTCTCGGGCCCTCGTAAGGACCATGGGCGCCAAAGCAGAGATTATTGTATTCAATGAGGCACAATGGTGGATGCCGAGCATCTTGGACAAGCCAAATTCCTGGGGCTATTAAAGTAGCTTACCTAGGTATTGATAGAAGAAACTCGCTATCTAAACTAGAAACTGCGCCAGTATGGCTAGCAGATAGTTTGAGCTTGCGAACTTAGCATAACTAACTACGCAAATACGTTTTCTTCTTTTTATTAGGCCTATAAGTGACGCTGGCCCTCCGGGAGCCACTGCCGTGGAGGCCGTCAATTCTAAGCTCATTTCCAGGCTCAATTCTAGGCTGAATACATAGTCTCTATATTTGTTTTAGTAGGCTCCTACGTCGCCTGCAAATGGCGGGAATATTTAGTTAAATCCGAGTTCCTGCGTCGAACTGGGCCTAAAACGTTAGTGACGGCTGCGAGAAGCGGATTCCGGGAGTTGAAGTCAACTTGAGATCTAGGATATAACAGACGTAAATAGATTTTTGGATAATTAATATTGAATGTCTCCGCTCTCATGTATCTCTCGTTTTCCAACCCGTCAATCTACCTATCGGAAAATAAATTAGCCCAAGGTCTACATTTCGACGCAGGATATTCCAGGACGATGGCGAGACTCTACCTTCCAAGGTTGTACTTCAATGGAGTTTTCTTTATGAATTTGATCTGTACCTAGGTAGTGATTTTCAATTTCGTTTGGTCTGAATAGTGCTGTTTGAATATTGAATTTGCGATGACTAATAACATAATATGCAGGAAATAGAAAGTAGTTACCAAAATGGTATTATCATACGACCAAAGTGGATCCAAGTAGCTCAGCATTATCTCCGATAGCGGGCGAGTATAATCTTTGTGCTGCCACATGTCTTCCTATCATGTCAAAAAAGGCTGAAATTCTTCTAGTTGGCAGCGGTGGCGTGGGAACTATCACAGCACTGAACTTGGAGATAGGTGGACAAGCCCAAGTCACAGCAGTGCTTCGATCTAACTATGAGAGAGTCATCGCTGATGGGTTCCACATCCGATCATGCGATCATGGAGAACTCACTCACTGGCGACCATCTAAAGGTGCGTAGAATTTCAGGGCATAGTAGCTGGAGCTGGCCCGGCTAATATGAGAATACAAGTTGTACGCGAAATTCCTGTACAGCCACAGAGAACCTTCGACTACGTCGTCGTGACGACCAAAAACATTGCCGATCATCGGCCTAGCGTTGCAGACTTGATTGAACCTGCCGTGGCTCCTGGCAAAACGGTGATCGTCTTGATCCAGAATGGCTTGAATATAGAAGCACCACTTCTGACTAAATATCCAAACAATATATGCCTGTCCGGCATTAGTTTGATTGGGTCTCGCGAAACAGCACCGGCCCTCATAGAGCATGAGGACTTGGACAGACTATTCATCGGGGCATTCGAAAACCCTGGTATCTCTCAGGAGGCACGAGACGAAGCAGCAAAGGATTTCGTCGAACGATATTCCGCTGGAGGGAAGACGGACTGTTCATTCGCACCTAATGTGGCATTCCATCGTTGGCAGAAGCTGGTTTACAACGCCTGTCTTAATCCAATTTGTGCTATAACAGGCCTTGACACAGGGCGTATCCGACTCGCAGATGACATCGTGGCTACACTACTACGGCCTGCGATGGAAGAGGTGGTGGCAGCTGCCAAAGCGACTGGGGTAACTCTACCAGATGGGATTATCGATCGGATGATCACAATTGATCCATTGACATTATACCTCCAGCCCAGTATGCTACAAGATGTCCAAAAAGTGAGAATCAAGACCTAGAGAGAGAGAGAGAGAGAGGAAGCCCGAATTAACTGAGATAGGGAAATCTGATCGAGTTCGAGACTTTAGTCGGAGAGCCCTTAAGAGAAGGGGCTGCTCGCGGTGTTCCGATGCCTACTTTAACGTTCCTTTATCGAACATTGAAAGCTATGCAGTGGAGGATGAAGGAAGAACGAGGTCTCATTTTGATTCCTCAGAAAGGAGAGAGCCTAGATACTAGTGCGTCTTAGTCTTCAGATTAGCAGTTTATTTATTACGAAGGATCGATAGATATCCGAGTCATTTAAATGATACCAAATGTAATAAGACGGATGGACTTCAAGCTTATACGCGTTAAGATGAGGCCAATTATTGGGGAATTGGATGTATTAGATATCCGACTCGAGTCGTCAATTTTCGGCGTTTTAGCTGTGCAGTTGTGGCGTCAACAGCTTCTTCGGCTTTCCAGAAAGTCCACGTATAGAATTTCAAAACCCAAAGATCAACTTGCGTTGACCTAATTTCCTGGTGAAATTAATCAGGGGCTCCAATTTAATTCTCCGACGCAAAGTAAGCGTTACTGGGCACAAATGCATATAGGGATGACGGGTGGAGATCGGATGTGGGTCTGATATCGATAAGTTGGTCTAGACTAGCATTAAGAAGGCAACTGGCCCTAGTATGTTTTGCATGTTTTGACCCCCTGAGTCCCTTTTAAGATTTTTCTCTTCCTCCTATCCCCAATCACTCTCTTCCCATACAGTCTTGTCGCAAAATAATCATGTCAGAACAAACACCCGTCGCACAGCCCCCCGTGGCCGAACTCGAAAAGAAAGAAGTAGTTGCTGTCGCTGAGCCTGAGACTTCTACAGTTGTGGTGACTGAGAACGGCAAATATGTCGAGCCCACAGAGGAGGCCAAAGTCGATGCGCCAGTGACCGAGGAGGCTACCAAGGAGGATGCGCTAATCAAGGCTGATGAGCCTGCTCAAGATGCGCCCGCTGTCGCTACCGCTGCCGCTGCCGCTGCAGCTCCTGAAGCTGAGATTGAAGCTGCCAAGACTGAAGAGCAGAAGCCAGAATATTTGACCAAGATCCCATCCTTGAGCCAGTTCTTCGATCACCTTCCTAAAATTCTCGCTAGCACCGGCCACAGTGAAATGTGGGGCGTGCCCCTCAAGGACAGCGAGGATATTCCCACTGCCAACGTATTGATCAAATTCCTGCGCGCTAATGAAGGCAACCTTCAGGCAGCCCAAGACCAGCTTCACAAGGCGCTCGTGTGGCGCAAGCAGACAAAACCCTTGGAATTGGTCGAGTCAGGTCGCTTCAGCGCAACCAAGTATGGAGGTCTTGGATACTTGACCACATACGAGCAGGATGGACGCCCACTCGTGTTCACCTGGAATGTCTATGGAGCTGTGAAGGACATAAGCTCGACATTCGCGGATTCTGACGAGTGAGTCGCACCGAGTGATTTTGGAAGATGGTTTATACTGACATTCACCTTCAACTAGGTTCGTGAAATGGCGTGCTGCCCTCATGGAACTGGCAGTGCAAGACCTTGGAATGAAGGATGCTACCACCGTGATCGACTACGACGGCGAGAAAGACCCTTACCAGATGATCCAGGTGCACGACTACATGAACGTCAAGTTCCTCCGTATGGACTCTAAAGTGCGCGCTGCTTCCAAGCAGACCATCGAAGTCTTCTCTACTGCCTACCCAGAGTTGCTTAGCCAGAAGTACTTTGTCAACGTCCCTACTATCATGGGCTGGATGTACACTGCTATGAAGCTTGTCCTGAGCAAGAACACCACTCGCAAGTTCCACCCCATCACCAACGGTGCCAACCTGGCCCGTGAGTTCCCCGCTGCTCTCGCGGACAGTATTCCTAAGAACTATGGCGGAAAGGGCCCTGAGCTGAAGGATGGGGCTCGAACTGTTCAACTTGAAGAATTTGAAGAGGAGACAGTCAACGAGGAGACAGTCAAGGAAGAGACAGCTAAAGAAGAGACAGCTAAGGAAGAGACAACTAAGGAAGAGACAGCCAAAGAAGAGACAGCCAAAGAAGAGACAGCTGAGGAAAAGCCTGCCAAGGAGGAGCCTGCTTCAGAGGAGCAACCCAAAGAGGAGGCCGTCAAGGAAGAGGCCGCTAAGGAAGATCATAAGGAGGAGGCTCAACCAGAGCCTACCAAGGGAGAGACCCAGGAAGAGCTGAAGGAGGAGTTGAAGGAGGATTCCAAGTAAATGGCTAGTGGGCTTTCAAGCCATTTGTTGTGTGATACCCGAGCAGTGCTTGACACTCTTCACAGTTTTCGTTCCAGGTAATTTTTACCTTAGATAGTTCTTTGTAATAATCAATTATTATTTTTCATCATAAATTATTAGAATCAGCTTTAATCATTTCAATAATGGGCTAATGCGACGCGAAAGTGAATGCTGACCAGCTACGGCGAACCGGTAATGCCAGTAGTGCAACTTCTCTTATCGACAAGCTCCATCGCTCCTCCCATCGCGAGTCAATATATTGACAGTGCGCGCGTCCTTTCCAAAGTTTCTACTTCCGTTTCTTCCTTACAATTTTCTATTTTCTGGGGCTTCTTAACTATGCGACTTTCTTTCCTCTAATATTTTCACTCCACTAAACCTACTTCCGACCACCATCTGATCTCGAAGTCAAAGTCAACCAGTCCACCTGCCCGCTAGCTTTCCTACTCAATCCTTTCCTACCGCCATATCCCCCAGAATGCCCCTCCATTTATAAGGAAATCACTCGATTGACCTTTCTTCTCAACAACCATCCATTCGTTTTTTTTTTTTTTTTTAAAAAAAAAAGCGTTGATCCCGTACACCCATACATCTCTTCATAACCAACCATAATGTCTGTCTGGAATCCAGACAACATCAGGGATGTCGCTGAGTCCCTTGGCATCACCAACCTCAGCCATGATGTGATTGAGAACCTTTGCCGCGATGTTGAATACCGGGTTGCGCAGGTGTTAGAAGAGGGGCTCAAAGAACTGCGCAAGGCCAAACGCACCATGCTCACGACCCAGGACATTTCTATTGCTTTGCGCCATCTCGATGTTGAGCCTCTCTATGGCTACGAATCTCTTCGCCCATTGCGGTTTGGCGAGGCATCGCTGGGACCGGGCCAGCCACTATTCTATGTGGAAGACGAAGAGGTTGACTTTGAGAAGCTGATTAACGCTCCTTTGCCAAAGGTCCCCAGAGAGGTCTCCTTTACAGGTGTGTTAATTTTTTGTCCCATGATGAATTGTACCACGTGACTAACATCCAACCAGGCCATTGGTTAGCTGTCGAAGGCGTACAGCCATCAATTCCGCAGAATCCGACTTCTGCAGATTCCCGCAACCTTGAGCTGGTCTCAAAGGGTCCAAATGTCAACTCTACTCTGGCAGCAATGAGTGGTACCGGTGACGTGGCTGTGAAACCGCTGGTCAAGCATGTACTTTCCAAGGAGTTGCAACTGTACTTCGAAAAAGTTTGCAGCGCCTTCTTGGATGAGACCAGTGAGGAATACCGGATCTCCGGATATTCCAGTCTGCGAGAGGACCATGGTCTTCATCAGCTGGTTCCCTACTTCGTGCAATTCATCGCAGAGAAAGTCACTCACAACTTGAAAGACATTTTTGTGCTAACCCAGGTGATGCACATGGCCGAGGCCCTGGTGCAGAATCAGTCTCTTTACGTTGATCCCTACGTAAGTATTGCTCTTTTGTGAGCTCTGTATCAATAAAGCTTTCTAATCCTTCTCAAGATCGCTTCTCTCGTTCCCGCTATCCTGACTTGCTTAGTTGGCCGACAGCTTGGTGCTACTGCTGACCAAGTCGAACAATTTACCCTACGTGATCTGGCAGCATCACTTCTTGGTTTCATTTCGAAGAAATACTCACACGCATCGCATACTTTGCGACCCCGACTTGTTCGGTCCTGCCTCAAGAGCTTCCTTGACCCCTCGAAGCCTTTTAGTGCCCACTACGGAGCGATCATTGGCATCCAGGCCATCGGTGGTTCTGAGGTAGTGCGTGTGCTCGTCATTCCTAATCTCAGCGACTACTCCAAACTCCTCAGTGAAGGCATCGAAGACTCGGCTCGTCGTCCGGCTGCTGAGCGTGTGCTGAATGCGTTGATTGCCGTTCTGGCTAGTCTACGTGATAGCAAAGTCTCGCTAGCCAATGGCTATCCTTCTGTCGTCACTGAAGCTCTGCGCTCCCGACTGGCAGAGAAGGTTGGAGATTTCATTGCTGGTCGGATTGCTGAAGCAAACGAGGTGCAACTAGCACACTTGTTGGTTGACTCTTGAAATTCCCGCAATACCATAGTCCTTATCTCAATTGTTAAGATTGCTATAATTCCAAAGCTTTCACCAAGTCCATATCCTCAAAATGGGCATAAAATGGATAATTACAAGCCCATATACCTTTCAAGTAGTGTTCTGCAGTGTACAAGTACATCGAAACTCATTGGTCCAAATACCCTAGTTACTTTATTTGATTTGAATTATCTCATTCCTCCTATTCATTATTTCTCTCTTCATTTCGCTCACTATTACCTCCACCCCGTTTTCGAAGGTCTAATTTAAACAATGCACTACTCCACACTCCCATCAGATACCCCAGATTATCCGATGACGCAATCTACTAGCTAATCAATACCGTCGATAATGAAATTCGTGTAGCCCTATTGACATGTTGTAATTTCAAATTTCACATAATAACGATAGTCCAAGGGTAGTTTTTATTCGAGGAACTGCCCCAGATTAATACTAGTTACGTATGACACGCCCCAGTGAAACCAGACTCCCCGATCACTGGATTTGGTTTGATTGTCAAGGCCAACGGAGGAAATTGAGACTACTTTCTTCAAACCACTTCTAAGTTCTCACCAAGCTCTTCAGGGAATATTCATGCACGCAGACTTAGAAAATATGATGTATCATGTAGTTGAGGATGTACTGCAAGTCGTACAGGAAAAGAACAGGGACCAGAAAGTTTAATTTATTCTGCCACTTTCCACCGTCTCGGGTGTCGATCCTTGGTTTCTTGGTCTCTGCTTTCCTCGTTTCATCTCACTCAATGAAATCAATCCAACTCCTGTCCCCCATTGCTATTCAGATTACCAATGAATTTTATTTAGGTGTGTTACTCCAAGTTGAGTGAATGAATTATTTTTTTGCAAAAAAACAAGGACTAACGAACGCTCTGATGTCAGACAGATTTTGCCAGCCCCACTAACCCTCGGGCCCACAGCCCGCACATAAAAAAATCGCGCACCAACCATTAGACCGCAAACATTTCTCAGTCACCCCCTCTTCCTCTCATTGTTGAGAAAACGACCATTACACCCTTGTGTACGGAGTACTAGCTATATTCTCCTTGAACATACTAGCTCTCTTCGCTCGGACAGCAACTATACCTCAGGTATCCATTGGGCTTTTGCTCTAAGTTTGACAGTTGTACTTCTACCCCGTACTGCTGCTACTTCGCTCATGTTCACGATTGTGGTCTCGCGCGACAACGTGCAATCTTAAGCCGATTTCCTTTCCTGCCTTCCATGAGCCCAAAGGACCTTCTGCGATTTCTCTCCAAGCCTGCGAAGTAAGTGGTAGATTATTCCCACAATCCTTGGCAGAAAAAAAAAACACCTTCTTCGAAGCGACTTCAGTGTCATTTTTTTCTGCCGGGTTCCCAGCAGACCTTTGCTTTTTAATCTAAAATATCAAGTACTGATATATTCACTGTCATCCAGGCCTCGATAACGCGACTCACACCCACAACAATCAACATTTTCTCCAATATCTCTTTTAAAGGAGCAGATACCACTCGTCTGCTAGACCCGATACTTTGATAGGTATCGGTATCTTCCAGTACGAGGGTACTTGACTGACAGTCAATATTTCTTGTAACAACTTCTTCCTCACCTTCGTCTTCCAACCTCCCTAGCAGCCCCCTTCAGGCTTGTTTGGGTTACCCTGCCTGGATTGCCAGCCCGTTTTAGTCAAAAGGGCCTTCTCTTCTCAGACGGGCATTGCCCCCTACTCGTCTGGGTAAGTAGACAGTGCTTCTAAAGCCTTTTTGTCTCTGTTTGCATACGGTACCAGGGCGGTCCCACACTACATACGTTTCAATATTTCAGGCTACCCAGTCCATCATCTCCAACTACATCAATCTGCAAAGATGGTTCACGTCACTATCCCAAAGCATTACACCCAGTCTCCGTCGTCGTTTACGGCGACGCCCTCTCTTACAATCAATTATGAGGCTGCCCAGGACCTTGATTCGACCAACGCGTTTGAGGGTTAGTCAACCCCGTCACCATGAGGCCAATTTGAAACAGCTCTAATGTGAAATTTATAGGTCCTGAAAAGCTCCTCGAAGTTTGGTTTGCGCCATCTGCTACCGAGCTTGGTGTCGCAGGCCCAGAGGGCTTGAAGAAGGTCCCCAGTGAAATTTGGAAGGACATGCTCAATCTGGTCAACTGCCAGGTTCTTTCCGTTGTCTCATCCGACGATGTCGATGCCTACCTCCTATCAGAATCTAGCATGTTCGTCTGGCCTCACAAGTTGATTTTGAAGACTTGCGGCACTACTACCCTACTTTCTGGTCTTCCACGTATTCTGGAAATCGCTGCTCTGTTTGCAGGCTTCTCGCGCTCTACAGCTCCTCCATCCCTCGGTATTACTATGGCTGCGGCTCCGTATCGCGTTTTCTACAGCCGAAAGAATTACCTGTTCCCTGACCGCCAGCGTGGCCCTCACCGCAGCTGGCGCGACGAGGTCCGGAACATGGACAAGCTGTTCCTCAATGGAAGTGCCTACATGATCGGCAAGATGAATGGCGAGCACTGGTATCTGTACTTGACTGAGCCACACACTCTGCTCACGCCCCCGGCTAGTCCTCAAGAGCAGGACGTAAACTTTGCCGAAACCGAAACCAAGCTTCTCAACTTCCCGAACAGCGCTCCTCTTCCTGACTGTGAAGAGTATGATGAGACTTTGGAGGTTCTGATGACCGATCTAGACGAGGACAATGCGCAGCAGTTCTACCTGGACAATGCCGCCGCCGTGGCCGAGAAGCGTTATCGCAACCAGGACAAAGATGATGAGCACATTGACGTTTTCAACAATGGCTCGGATCTAGATGATACTGTCAATGAGAACAATGGCTCTCTGCCAACTGAACTGACCACTGAAGGTCATGCTCTTGGCACTGTGGTCTCCGAAACCTGTGGCCTGTCGGACGTTTACCCTAAGAGCAAGTTCCCCGATGCTCGTATCGATGCTTATCTCTTTACACCATGTGGATTTTCTGCGAACGGTGTTATCCCTGCATCTGACGGCAAGTCCGGGACTCACTACTTCACCGTCCACGTCACTCCGGAGCCACACTGCTCGTATGCATCCTTCGAGGCCAACGTCCCGCACTCCCAGAACGGCAAGACCACCGCCGATATTATCCAGCAGGTTGTGAACATTTTCAAGCCTGGTCGCTTCAGCATCACTTTGTTTGAAACCAAGCCTGTCCTACCAGAGAACGAAGGAGATGCCAATGCATTCCACGAGGTCTACTCGCAGCGCCAGGCTGCTCGCCGCCATCCTAAGAATGAGCATGTTGACGGCTACCGCCGTGTTGACCGTATCGTTCACGACCTGAACGGGTATGACTTGGTATTTCGCTACTATGAGCGTAACGACTGGAAAGGGGGGCACCCCGAATCGGAGAGAAATTCTGAGGACACTCAAGATTACTAGAAAGTCGTCTCTTTATTCTCACCTTCGTCTGGCCCAGTCGTTCTGCTACCAAGTCGATTTCCGTCCAGTGTCTTTGTGAACATCGAGTCTTTTCGCGTATCTTCTATTTCAATGTCTTGATTTGTCCCGCATTACATCTTTATGCTCTGAGTACACGTTGTTTTCGGTATTTTGTTAGGCCTCATCAGCAATGATGAGATACTTGATATCTTGTCTATCCTTTTTTTTCTGAAATTCCTCCTATTTCTATTATCGTCATTCATTGAATATTAAACTCAGTACTTGCTCTCATTTAAAAAGTCAAGTAACACACTCATGTAGAGACAATATTCAATTTCAATTTGATTATATTGGCTTCACTTCGACCTCCGAAGTGCTGCTTAAATATGGCAGAATTCCTAGAACGGCAGGCGGTCTGATGCTACGTCAGACCAAATAAACATCTAACTACTTTCTTTCGGAAGCTCTAGCTTCGATCACTTTGACAGTAGCCACATGGCTTCTTGCTCAACCATCCGCATATAACCCTCATCCTTCTTCTCTGCCACTTGAACCCGACATGTCGTCCCCACCACCGTATCAAAATGTCGCCAATCCCCTTAAGCGACATTCCATCTCATCGAATGCATCACAGCCTGGTAAAAAGGCGCGCATGCACCCACTCCGCCAGGCCTCGTTTGCAGATTCTCTCGATATCGAGCGCAGTTTTGGAGGGACAAGCGATGCAGGAAGCGTGACAGGAAGTTTCACCGGAAGCCTGGGCGGAACAAGCGCAGATGGAGTTTTCTCGCGAAACAAAAAGCGCGGACGCAAAAACAAAATTGATAAGGACTGCGACGATGCTATGAGTACACGTGCTACCGACACTCCGCGGCCGGGCTCACCTGATGGGGGAGGCTCAATCCGCGCGGGAATGGGTGGAGCGGGTGCTGGAGGCGCCGATGAAGCTGATGATGATGATGATTACGGAGATCTAGGCCGGGATGAGGGCACGACTGATACAGAGGCTGAGAAGAAGAACTTAGCGTATGTTTTTGCGCTCCCGAATTTACGTCACGAGCTGCACACTAACACTTTGCTACTTGATACAGTATTCTGGTTGACGCTTTCAATCCTATGCAATCCGAGCGATACGACCTCTTCAAGCGCGCCAAGCTTCGTAAAGAATCCCTCCGCCGTATTGTCAACCACGCACTTTCCCAGTCTGTTCCTGCGAGTGTAGTTACGACCGTGAATGGCTTCACAAAGGTCTACGCGGGCGAGATGATCGAAAAAGCTCGAACTGTCCAGGCTGAGTGGGCTCAGGCATTCGACGACTCCTCACGTGCTGCATTCGATGCTCAGGAAGCGGCTCGATCAGTCAAGGAAGAAGGCTCTTCGTCTCAACTTACACAGCGCGTATTCCGCCCTCCCCCGAATCCGCACCGTGGTCAACTTCTGCCATCTCACTTGCGTGAGGGGCTGCGACGCACTAAGCGCGATGGTGAAGGTGGAGGCGTTGGTTACTCTGGTCTTAGTAATGATAATCTTGCCGTCAAGGGCTCAGTTACTTGGAGCTCTGGTACTATTGGCGGGCGAAGATTGTTTCGCTGAGCTTTTCATGAAGTTTATGACTGTGGGAAAGAAGGCGTTCATATTTTACTAAAATTATCATACCCCGTTTACTTTTCTTCAGAGGTTGCCTCCTGGCACTTTGCGCTCTAATCATTCTTTGGACAACCACCCCTCTTGGTTTAAATAACTTGAGAATATCGTGCCCCGCACGCTCTAAGACGAGATTATGAGTAACAAACCAACAATCTGTGCTATTTAATCCAGCACTTTCTAATATGTGATTACCACTACAGAGTAGAAATATCTTTATTCACGAAACATTCCACTACTGAGGTCCGCAATCCATTCTCATACATCCCTTGGCAGTATCTAAATGACGGGAGTATCACCGAGTCATGAACGCACGTTCCTAGTAACCTCCTACTTTTTACAAGGCTCATCCACGTGTATATGAGAGTATTCTCAAGCAAATCTGCAAATATTACGGATTCTACGGAAATTCATGCGCAAGCCAGGTCATATGCAAGGGTCAAATCGGTCCATCGGACCCAACTACTCTTCCTGTCTCCTCAGCCTGGCATTCCAGTCCTTTTCTACATCGGTGCTATCAACAATGTTCAATAACCCCTAGTATGCGCTGAAAATATTCCACGGCACCTGGCTCTCTCTTCAGAAGACTCCATAGAGGGTTTTCTCGCGCTATCACTCGTGTTCTATTCGTGTTAGAATTGCTTGTTCACACCCCTTCTTTCGTGGCAAACCCCCATCTGCAGTCTTCTACATTAATTTATTTGCGTCGATTGTGGCTTTTCCAGGTGCCCCCATCCTCTTTGTTTCTTACATCACTGAGAGATATTCACCTATTCCTATTTAATATTCTAATACTATCACGTACACACGTTGATGGTTCCTTTTCGATGCCCTTTATGATTCTTATCTTGAACTGAACCCGCAATTCTCCGAGTCTTTATCCTATAGACCATGCCGCTCCTCCAATCGTCTCATCTATACACTCGTTTGAGGGATACAATTCCAGCTGTCATGCCATGGAAACAATCAGGCTCTACAACGAAAGGTGACCCACGGAAAAGCGTCAAGTGGATCGATGTTCGTGAAACAATTCAGCCCTAAACACAATCGATAGCTGCCCAAGCTAACAAACCTACCCAAAATTCTAGGGCCTTAGAGGAATTGCTTCATTTCTAGTCGTCTTGACACATCTAGCTCGTGCTTGGGACTATGACCTCTTCTCACCCCGCGACAATGAAAACGCAACGCCCCGGATGTTACAATGGCCAATCCTTCGTATTCCTTGGCAAGGTCGTATCGGTGTGACAATATTCGCTTTCCTGACCGGTTATGTCTGTGCCCTAAAACCACTCAAACAATCACGGGCTGGCGATACCATGGCGGCATTTACAACAATTGCAAAAAGCGCTTTCCGCAGGCCTCCGCGCTTGATATTCCCTGCTACTATTGCTTTATTTATCTCGTGGTTAGCTGCTCAGTTTGGGGCTTTTGTCGTTGCCAATCGGTCTGATTGCTGGTGGTGTAGATATGCTGCTCCTGAGGTAGAGGACTCGCTCTGGAAGGAGATTCTCCGGTTAGGAAAGAACTTCTTGACTACCTGGACGACTGGGTATATGGCCTATGATGATCATCAGTGGGCACTCCTGCCACTGCTCCGGGCTTCTATGCTGGTTTATATCCTTCTCTGCGCCACGATGTTTGTTCGATTCCGGTATAGGGTCATTGTATACATCGGGATGATCCTATATTTCCATCAGGATAATGCAAAGAACACAGGTGAGCCATCTCAACATGATTTTTTAAGGAAACAGAAAAAAAAACATTCAGCAGAGAACAGTTGCATGAACTCATAGCTGACTATTTTCTTAGAAACATTCCAAATGCAAGCAATATACGGCGCCTTTCTCAGCGATCTCTCTTACAACACAGCCCTCAAAGACTGGATCGAAGCCCACCGATACACTCGCAAAATGCTCACTATACCAATGACAATAGCAGGACTATTTATTGCCTCGTATCCAGGCGAGCATCCAGAATGGGCAGAGTGGTCCAATAGCATGTTCAATCTAGCACGCCACATCTTCCCACCGGACGTAAATATCGGAAAACGCTACACAGCAGTCGGAGTTGACCTTATCATTCTCGCAATCTTTCTCTCGCCCTCAACAAAGGACTTCCTCTCCAACCGACTTTTACTCTGGCTCGGAAAACAGAGTTTCGCCGTCTACCTCATCCATGGCACAATGCTGCGAGTCGTCTTGTGCTGGATGCTGTACGGCATCTCCGGCCAACCTTGGGAAGGAGGCGAGGCAAAGACAGACGATCAACGCCAGTGGCTTCCTCTGCGCCCTCCGTGGGTCGTTGCTATTTGTATCCCTATATGGATCGGGATTGTATATGCTTGTGCCACGGCTTGGACTGCTTATGTTGATAGGTTCTGTGCAAAGATGACGGCGAAGCTTGAGCGGACTATGTTTATTGAAGATGAGAAAGCTTCGTTGCCCATGCCTGCTGTTTCGATTCCTATGCACATGCAGAGTTCTTAACTTCAAATTCAAGTTATCTTTTTTATGTATGATTAACTTGATCTACTATTGAAACATTCCGGGTGTCATGACCTAGCAGGACTAGAATATGGTTCTGTGTGTTCAATTATCAACGTCAAGGCCGGAAAACCTTGGGATTTAAGCTTCCAAATTTCAGCCTACCACTTTAAATTTTAATAGGAGGCATGCAAATAATTGCTTTTAAATCATCCCATTAGTCTTCAATAATACCTAGAAAGGCGTCAAATGAGTTGTACGAAGCGGAAAGTATCTCGATGGGCCAATTGATAGTACCTCTCGAGTGCAACGTAAGATATGGGATACAAAACCCACATTACCCCAGAAAGACGACTGAGAGATCTCCCAAGTTCAAAGGGCGGAGAAGTTTAAGGGACCTCTGGATCTCCAATTGAGAGAATGAACAGTAATCTCAAGCCTCATTCCTCATGTGGGTCATTAGTCTGACGAGTAGTAAAATGGCCGATTCCAGCCGAACCTCGGGTTACAATAGCATTACTTAGTCAACTATTAGAGGTTGCATTATATTACTCAGTGGCACATTCATATGAAGGCAGCCGTTAGTGCAGTAGAGTGGAAGCCCTGCGAGAGGTATACCTTTCCTTACCGCGGCGAAAGATGGATGCCTTCCCGGGGTTGGGTTGTTCAAGAGTAGTATTCACGCCGCTATATAGGTACCAACCGAAAAAGGTTTCTTACTCAAATACTTGATGAAACAGCTTAACATCCTCTAACAATACTATGCGTCGACTGCATTGCCTTGCCATTCTGTTTCCATTGACTTTTGTCGTGAGAATCAATGGATACACCAAGCCGTGTATCTACCAAGCCGAAAAATGTGGCTATACATTGATCGCAGCCTACGGTATGAATGCACTATAAAAGGGCTTCCATACAAATATTGGAGCCTTGGAACGCGTAAGAAGCCAAAGTTAACCGCCATTACAGGTTATACCGTGAATGAGCTTATTGCTGCCGTCAATCAGACAGCTTCCATCCCACCCATTACATCAGACCAACTTGCCCAGGTCATATTCCACTGTGAGAATATATATGGAGCCCTCATTGGAAACTCCTTTTGTTTCAATGGATGCTTAGATTCTCGGAACCCGACCATGGATGACGACTGCCGAGTAGCAGGCAATGGCTCGGCCCCGGGTACTGTCACCGTCACAGCTACTACAACATCAATATCAACATCAACACTTACAGTCACAAGCCCAGGAAACACAACTACAACCACTGTTACTTCTGGGTATGCTTTTACATGCTTTACTGAGCACAAGGCTTGGTGTTTTGGAGGGAGTAATACATCATACATGGATTCTTATACACTGTACTCAGCAACTGCTACAGCAGCGTGGCTTACAGAAGTTTGAGCGAAATAAATCCATGGACCTCGGGAAAATTATTATGATGTTGAAAACAGTCAGAAGATTTGTTTTGAACCAGTGCAATTTTATTAAATCCACATGTATATCCAAGTTCTCCACAGGTTCTAGCTTTTAAATGCTCTTGAGATCTTGTAGATACCTACCATATTTCAATGTTCAAAACAGAAGTTCTAAAAACGTTCAATCTAATACAAGTACTGAGGTTTAAGCTTAGCATTTATCAATGGGTATTGTAGGTAGGTACGTTGGTGACTTCTATAGAAAAGGTGACAAGGTATGGCTTAGTGCAAGCGATTGTGGTAGTTAAATTGGAAACTAGCATAAAATGCCATTTAAAAAGAATTTTTCTGGTAATAATGAATGAATAGTCCCCTAGGCCCGACCCTTTCCGCTCAAAATCATGAAGGTTTATAGCGAACAGATGTTATTCAGGACTACCTAAGGAGGAGTGAATTGGAATCTAGACCCACCCTATAAAACGAGGAAAGGAGGTAACATCTCCAAATCAACGTATATATCGGGGTAGCCGAGCTAAAAGGACTTCAACTACCTTAAGAAAAGATGTGGAGAGCTCATGGCGCCTACAAGATACATTGGTCATTGCGAGTACCGGGCTTGGCGTCACATCCAGCGAAACAGAAAGCGTTTCCAGTGATACCACCCAGAATATCTGTACAGTGGAAAAGAGTTTGGGACAGCTGGGAAATGCTGATAGGCGGGATTGAAGCCGTATCGTTAACAGCTGCAGAGAGCTGGGCTTCGGTGTAGCCTAGAAAAGAGTTACTGTTAGAGAATTACTCGACGAAAGAGTCAAGAGATAGCGCTAACCGTATGGAGCAGCGAGCAAGGCTGAACCGCACTTCAATGACTGGTATTGACAGTTTGCAGCTTGTTGAGCCTGAACTCCAGCGAGGAACAGGCTAATTGATAGAACAGATTTTGCAAGCATGTTTATAATGGTTTTTGGGGGAAAATCGAGTAATCACTTTTGAATGAAGGTGTTTAGGGCTCTTTCATCCCATACATTCTTCGGGAATCGGTCACTATTTATACCTAGGTAATGCTTTATGCACCTAGGTACGACAAATTCAAAGTAGTAGCATAGTCATCCATTCGATTGCATACAACTGTCATGTGCATATCTTATGACAGAGGTCCCGAGGTCTGAATGCTACCATCGACGAAGTCTGTAAGGGAGCACTTGGATATGCTTAGGTAGCGTTCCTTTATCTCGATGGTCTGTGAAACACCTGGGCAATGAAGACACTGTCAAGATATCCGAGGCAAGAATATCTGGGATCAGTCCCACCGAAATTCAAAGTTTCACTTGGGCATGCATCATATAATGTCTGGAGAGAATCAAGGTCATAGTTTCTCACTCAAAAGTGTTGTATACAACCACCAGCCAGGGTACTTAGGTTAATGTCTTACCTCGAATTTGAGTATTTTAGTGCCCAAACTTTAAAAGAAGCTTAAATCAACGGCGCCAAATCAGCATCTGATACTGCCAATGTGACTAGTACCTAGTGACAGAGAACTGGTTACACCCGGGGGTGGGGCGAATCCTATGTAATATCGCACAACCAAGGGCCCAATATTTTCAATGAGGGGTCTGGAGGTACCTACATATTCAAGTAGTATCAATTAAAAATAATCCATTTCCGAATAGGAAACTACCTACATGAGTACCATATGTACATCGCTTCAGTATTAGGTATTGAAATTTCTATGTACTCTATCTAGGTATGCAGCATTCTATCAGCTTACATACCGCATTAAAATTCAATAATTCAAGCTTGATTCTACAAATACCCATACCTATCTGAGTAGAGTGTTTAGCTTTGGAACTTCCGAGGTCGCTAAGTGCCAAGCTTGCTAATATAACGACCATTGGAAGCTGCAACATTCTCCTCCTTTTCTCCTCAACTTCTTCCCTCCTCCAATTTTCCCTTTAATACAATGGCATAACTCAAGAACAAGTAAGATCAGCACCCTAGTTGTGAACCGCTCTAAACCACCCCTAGTTTTGGACCCGAACGTAAATTATGAGCTAGTCTAAAAAGGCAATATTATATACACCACAGACACTAGGTATGCCATTGAAACATCATCTCTTGTAAAGCAGCCCTTACTATGCTTCCTGGAGATTTTTTAGTTCCTTTCTCTAGATCCTCTGTCGCTGACGCTCTACTAAAGCTATAGCTTCTAGCTGTGCCATTTGAATATTTTCCATGTCTGTAAACCATGTATTGGGGTCTATAGTAATCCTTTTGTTCTTTTTATGATTTTGAAAGGTTTTACCTCGGTCAGTAAGTTTAGAAATTAGAGCTCCATCAGCTACCTGCTTGGTAGTAAGGAGTCTTGTAGCCTTGCCTGCTTTCTTAAGAGCTAACCTTTGGTCTCTAGTTGAATTTTGCTGTTTTTGAAGGAGATTTTGACTTTTTTTTAATATATATAAAGGTAGCTCTAGAGCGTAGTAAAGGCCATAAAGCACTTAGAAGAGAGGAGGGGTGTTTTGGCATTTTTGTGGTATAGAAGAAATCTGGATTTGAATTTGGGATGTGTCAAGGCCATTAGTCGGATAATGTGCTGTGTAGATAAATATTAGAAGCTATCTTTCCACCGTGGAGAACACGATATGTCGGAAAAATGTATTTTCAATCTAATCTTAGCATATTTCTTTCTAGCCTTTATCGTATTGCTCTTTAATACAAGGAGAGATATCGTAGTGCTCCTGGATAGCTGCTGGCTATATTTCATGGATTTTAGACGTATCAATGCGTCTGATAATACAAGAAGTGATGCGTGGATTCTGTTCAAGGAACTTTGATAGCCAAGCTTTTTAAGTGCTTTACCAGATTGTAAAAAGCAGATAGCCATCTCACGCGCATATATATGAGAGGGAGGAAATCCTTGGAGTCCTGTTCAATAATCCATTCAACTAGAAATTCTTCTTGGTACAGAGACAGCCTGTATTGATTTACGTGGCCGGCTCGAGCGTTTTATGTATTATTCATTCAAACGTCATAGGGTAGTTAGAGCAGCAGCACTCCAGTTTTGGACCACGCGGTCGCGTCCCCTACTTCCCATATCTTCCACTTTTCTAATACAATCATCTGTCTAAAATGCCTATCACTCGTGCGTTTCTGATCTCCAATCGGGGCGAATCTCTTCGCCGAGAGCTGCTGCCAATCCAAAAGCGATCGCGATACTCAACAGGCCATTTAGGTGAAGAGATAATCCAAGGGAATCAGCTAGTTATTGTCCAAGCCAAAAGATAAAATAAAGTAAAAAAATACGAAGTGGATCTTCTCCGATAGGGGGAATCGAACCCCCGGCTGCCGTGTGAGAGACGGCGATGTTAGCCACTACACCATATCGGATATTGGATATTTTAGTGGTCACTTTTTGATTATATAAATAATTTAGCCTTATGAGTCTCTAGCTCCCTGTGCGTGGCTCTATAAAAGTCCCCCATTTCCCCTCCAACTTTTTGTTTCTCATTTACCCTGCCAATTTCTCTCCACTATGTTTTGAGGTATTTCTGCTATTGGACTGGATCACCGAGCTCCGAACCTCCCTTGTATCTCTGGAGAGACTCGTTAGTTCCTCGGCGTAATCAGCCGGTCCTGAGTCGAATTTTCGCGCCATAAGATCTATTTCCTAACCCTTTCAGAATTAATTTTCTTGTATGGCGGGGCTTTAAATCTGCTTTGGGTATAATTGTTGAGCGAGGGGCTACTTAGCCTTAGCTTAAGCGATTACACGATATTGAAACGGAGAAACGCCATATAGTTCGCTCGATGTTACCGTCCCTGATAGCTAGTACAACTAGACATCGTTACGAGATGCTATGATAAGAACTGCAGCTTTAACAGCCATGTATGGAGCAGGAAATAGCTCCAACTGCTACAAATTTACTTATGATGTGGAAGAAATGAAGAGGGGCCACCCTTTCCCGGAATCAACCTCAACCACATTCTGCAACACTGCTGCGTTTGCCGCAGTCGATTACTATGATTTCTGGTGGAAGACGGACTCAAGTCCAACAACGCAGAAGATATATGTAACGTATAAGTCCGACACCGATGCTGGTGGTGATTTCATATGTGATTTATTAGAGGACCTTATTGATGCCTTTGTAGTCGTGGAACTCGAATTTGTGGTGGGGGACATTGAGCTCGGTGACGCTATTGAAGTTTGTTGGAACGAATATCAGCTGACATACCAAGATCATGTGATCTTGGCATGGCAGCTACTATATCTTCTTTCATCTGAGCATTTTAGAATGACACTTCACTTTTACCCAATATGCATACACCTATTATATACGTACAGAAACGATATCAATAGCTGTCTGCTTCGGTAATAACCTAGTCAACCGACAAAGTTCTTTATGCGGATAAAATGCCTGAAGATTAAGACTGAGAGCCTACTGTCGGTTGACTAGGTTATTACCGAAGCAGACAGCTATTGATATCGTTTCTGTACGTATATAATAGGTGTATGCATATTAGGTAAAAGTGAAGTGTCATTCTAAAATGCTCAGATGAATGAAGATATATGTCAAATGGAGGTCTGACTACCAAAGGAATTGTGGATTCTAGTGGGCAAATGAGAGTGCAGTATGCGTATGTGTGTATGTGTAGCTATGGTGGGAATCCCATGGTGGGATTCCAATGCTGACTAAAAATAGACTAGCTGTAAATGGAATCGGGCCTTTGACAATAGCAGTGCCAAGATCACATGATCTTGGTATGTCAGCTGATCTTCGTTCCAACACCTACTTGGCAGAAAATTCTTTTTTTTTTTTGTGCTGAAAAAACTTGGATTTCTTCTAATAAGCAAATCACATATGTTGTAACAATCCTACTCCGATATGACAAAAGAGGTGGAAGTAAAAATGGAATTCTAAGATGGGAAAAGAAAGAGAAGAAAAGAAGAGAGAGTGAAGCTCTCTTTGCTGAAACTATATATAAGGGATTGGGAAATTGACGCCCCCTCCTAGTATTCTGACAGCTGTTCTCACCGAAAGTACCTGCAGCAAATCTATTTTCTCCCCGCGCTGAAAAACATCTTCCTGATAGCCATACCAGTTCTCGAAAAACAATTTTTCCATTACAGTCCCATTTTTTTCCTCTACGGAATCACTGGCACTCACGACAAACTCCACCTCATTCATCTCCGTTCCCGGAGTGCTGTAAATGACATGATGGGTAAAAGGAGAGACTGCCAGTTCGCCATCACTTTGGGTACGGGGAGTAGGACAACCATTAATATCGATAGTAAGGCTACCGCGGAGGACGCGGAAGCACTCCCGCTGTGAAGGGTGGAAGTGGGGGCTTCTTCCTAGTGGCAGTCAGCTTGGCGTAGATCCCGCAGCTTGGGTGCAATGTGCCGTGAAATAAGAACAGGCAGTTCGGTGGCGGGTTTGCAGGGAGCCATCTTAAAGTTCGGCAGAGGTAAATATGGGAAATGAATCTAAGTATCAATCGATGACTTTAATTTACATAATGCTTTTTGATTCCGAGGCCTGGTCAGCGACAGTAAAATAGTCACTTTGAGCTCCACAAGGTCATACATAGACGAGATGTAATTCGGACGAGAATTTCGCTCAATCGGACTTCCATTTTAGGGCCTTCGTCGGCCGAATGCTGAGTCACCCTTGTTTGTTTGGGACAGTGCTTAAAAGTCACGATCAAGAGCGAGCTTTAAAGGGCAAAGTGCAACATTCAGATTAAATAGTTGTGACTCCCTCAAGCTTTTATATCTTATTCTGTTTCAATTTGAATTAAACTCTTATCCTTGACAAGGCTCTATTCCTCCCCAAGTTTCATCTAAGTCCTATCATGGTTAACTTTATTCAGCCGAAAGTGGATCCTCTGCCTTACGGGTAAAACAGTCGTGATTACTGGTGCCAGTGCTGGTATGGGACTGGAAGTGACCAAGCAACTGCTAAGATTTCGTGCTTCCGTGATTCTTGCTGTCCGTAATGTCGCGAAGGGTGAGACTTGCGCCACTTCTCTCCGCCAAGACGGCCGCATCAAAACTCACAACCCGAAGCCGAGCATTACGGTTATGGAGCTCGATATGGACCGGTACGAAAGCGTGCAAAAATTCGCGAAGCAACTTCGCGAGGAGGTTGCCGTGGTTCATATCCTTATCCTAAATGCGGGTATCAGCTTATTGAAGCTAGAACGTAGCCCAAGCGGCCATGATCGCACTACTCAAGTAAGTCTGTGTATTAATGATTTGCGAATGGCCTAGCTAACCGAATGATCTAAGTCAACTACTACTCTAATGTTCTATTAATTGCTGAGCTTCTGCCTTATCTCAAGGAAGGATCGGACAAGACTGGCTCTCCTGCGCGTATAAGCTGGGTTGGCAGTCGAGCGCTTGAGATGACAAGCCTCGAGAAGAAGTCTCCCATCAAATCCGATGAAGGGGTACTTGAACATATGGACAAGGCAGACGCATTTGTGCCATTCCAGCGTTATGGTGACTCCAAGCTCCTTTGTGTGTTATTCATTTATAGTCTCGCACCGCGCTTAGATCCCAAGAAAGTCATCATCAACATGATGTGCCCTGGCATGGTTAATACCAACATGAGCGATGTTCTCCCAATCTACTTAAAGTTCATTGTGAATATGGTTAAAGCGGTGCACGCCAGGCCTGTTGAAGTGGGTGGCTGGATCATCCTGAATAGTGCACTGGTGGTAGGTCCGTTGTCCCATGGAAAGTTCTTAATGGATAAAACAATCAGCAAGTAAGTGTTTTCAAATCCTTGTTTAGAAGTGCCTATTGTAAATGGCTAACAATTGCTCCTGTATAGCCCAACTGCCTTCATTGAGTCTTCGACAGGCCAGGAGATTCAGAAGACATTGTGGAAGGAGAAAATTGCTGAGATGAGCAGTTTGACAATTCTTCCTGCCGAGTTCAAGTAAACTACGTGAACATGAGCGTATGATCAACTTCTAACTCAAGTCACACAAATGGAACTATTATGGTCTTAAATAGTACTTAGCGTAGATCAATCCTACTAACAGCCAAATATAACAGTATATCCTATTCAGGCTCTCCTTATCCAACGAGGACACACCTTGTGCCAATATCCTAACTAGCCAGGTAGTATTAATAAAACGAAGTCCTTAAAACGCACGAAATTTCCACTGTCATAGGTAAGCTCATGTATCCGCTTAACTTAGCCAGTCATGGCCAAACCTAATACTACTCACCAAATCAGCTCCACGCCCCTCACAACCAATTTCCCGGTACTACCGCAGCAGATTGTCTCACCAGCTCCAGCGCGGCGAATATATTCCCTCTCTCATCACATATTCCACTCGCAAGTGCCACTGGCACTGCCTTCAGCTGCATACGACTCCACGTATACCAGGACAGCGTCACTGCATATCCCACCCAACATCGCAGTGCCCCAGGTTTTGCTCCTGTCCGGTCATCAATCCCTAGTCAGGTTGAATTCTAGGACTTGGTAGAACCAAGCAGATCATGTGACAGAGTTAGTGGGAATCGGAGTATGTCCGATTCTATCGCGGGGACTTAGAATAAGACACGCATCTTACCGCACAAATTTCTCCACGTATCAACGTAGTAGTGAATGGTGCATTGAGATCCCTGTAAACCATCAGTAGCGCAAACTGTGACCTACGGAATTGGCATATGTATACCCTTCAAATGTTGTCGTGGGGAGGATTATAAAGGAGGATAATATACTAACCCCTATAGAGCTCGGCACGAATATGCGAATATTCGCGAATAAAATATTCTATTCCTGATTAGGCTTAATTATTAGTACCAAATATAGGTGTCAGCTGACTATTTATTCTTACAATCTCTCAGATATATATTTCTACTCATGCATATTTAATTTAGTCAATTATTTCCAGATAACTAGGTTTCACAACCAACAAAATTCAATTTCTAGCATCAAAGTAGTTTCTCACTATCTTTAAATACATAAGACTTAGACTGATCATCAGACTCATGATAATTGACTTGAAAGACATTGCGAAGTAGCACATTCTTTCGCATAGTCTCACCTGTCATAGAGTGTCGACGAACACCAAGTAGGTCCCTGACACTTCTAAATAGTCTCTCTACTGATACCTCTGCTGCTGGAATAGCTAGATAGTCTCTTGAAGCTGCTGCCACCCTTGGATATTCACTTTTGTGGGCATTCTACCATAAAAATAGCTAGGCCCAATCTTGCTCAGAAAATGGGATAGGTTCTTTCTGGACCTCATTCTATAAAATGATCTGATGTTTGGCGAGTCGGGCATCTTGGAGCATAAGGTAGGTTGAGTTCCAAAGTGTCTGGACATCGACTCTAAATTATTGATAAGTAAGGGTATAGAGAAGAGTATAGAAGAGAGCTTACCAAATGAATTTATCAGGTAAAGAGTTCGCCTAGCAAATAGCCTTCCATTGCTGCCGTCTTTGAGGCGTCCACTTGACCCAAGGAGCTAGAGCGCGGATACGTTCTAGTATAGACTTTCCATCTGGAAGTCCTTTATTATCCTTAAGAAGTAGACAGATATCCTTAGAGGACTTCTGGCTCCCACATCTCAAGTCTGTAAGGATATCTTGCACAATAAGATGAAGGATATGGCAGAGACACCTAATAAGCTATCAACACCTAATAATTATATTAGTAAATAGTAAATTTAAATTTATAGAAAGCTTACCTTTGAAACGTGAGTTAGGTGTATTCTCAAGATAGAAGAAGATCTCAGATATCAGAGTATAATTAATACTAGCACTATCAGCAGTAATAGTGAGTAGCTTTGGTGAGATTTGGAGCTCTTCTAGTATCATATAAAGCTGTTCTGCCATATTCTCTCTGGTATGAGACCCAAAAAGCTCAACAAAATCAAGGATTCGCTCTTGATATTGGAAATCAGGGGTTATTGGTCATTGGCTAGCCCCTGATTTCCAATATCCAGAGCGAATCCTTGATTTTGTTGAGCTCTTTTGGGTCATATACTAGAGAGAATATGGCAGAACAGCTCTTTAAGATACTAGAAGAGCTCCAAATTTCGCCAAAATTACTGACCATTACTGCTGATATCGCTGGAAATAACGATACTCTAATGTCTGAGCTCTTCTTCTATCTTGAGAATACACCTAACTCACGTTTCAAAGGTAAGCTCTCTCTCTCTCTTTCTTATATATACTCTCTCTTATTACTAACTAATAATTTATTAGGTCTTGATAGCTTCATTAGATGCCTCTGCCATGTTTTAAATCTTATTGTACAAGATATTCTTAAAGATTTGAGATGTGGGAGCCAGAAGTCCTCTAAGGAGATCTGTAAGCTTCTTAATGATCGCCAAAGACTACCAGATGGAAAGACTGCGCTAGAACGTATACGCGTTCTAGCCCTTTGGGTCAAATGGACACCTCAAAGACGGCAGCAATGGAAGGCTATATGTCAAGCGAATTCTTTACCTGATAAATTCATTCGGTAAGCTTTCTCTATCACTCTCTTATACTATCTCTTTAGTATTGATGTCCAGACCCGTTGGAACTCAACCTACTTAATGCTCCAAGACGCCCGACTTTCTAAAAGGCAGATTATAGCATGGAATGAGGTTCAGAAAGAACCTATCCCATTTTCTGAGCAAGATTGGGCCTGGCTAGCAGAGCTTGAGATGGTTCTCTCTAAGTTCTATGAGTTTACTTTATATATTTCACAGCAAAGACCTCATATTAGCCTTATTATTCCTCTTTGTTATGAGTTACATGATCTACTCAATCATTCTATCTCTTTTGAAGAAGAATTTAAAGGGCTTAGTGCTGACATCAGTACTGCTGTCAAGTCTGCAATGTTGAAGTATAGTAAGTATTATGCTTACATGGATCAGCAAGACGCCTATCATATAGCGCTGCTTCTTGATCCACGCTTTAAAACGATCCTACTAGAGAAAGAGCTTGATGAGGATGCAGGACCAACCATTAAGTATATTAGGGACTTTCTACATGAGAAATACCCTAGTACTACCCAGCCTTCTCCTCATCAGTCTGATCCTACCTCTCCTCTACTACGTCTCCAGGCTCGCGTTATACAAAAACTACAGGGCCCTCGGTCTAGTATATCAGATATTGATCGGTATTTTGAAGAAGCACCACTCCGGATTGATTCTACTATTAGTCAGAAGGACTGGCTATTCTCATGGTGGAATGCTCATAAAGATGAATATCCAAAGATGGCGGCAGCTGCGAGAGATTATCTTGCTATTCCAGCAGGAGAAGTCTCAGTAGAGAGACTATTTAGTAGTGTCAGGGACCTACTTAGTGTTCGTCGATACTGTATGACAGGTGAGACTATGCGAAAGAATGTCCTACTCCGCAATGTCTTTGAAGTCAAGTACCATGAGTCTGATGATAAGTCTAAGTCTTATGTATTCAAGGATGGGGAGAAGTTACTTGAAGATTGGGAGGAATAGATTGAAATATATGACATGTTGAGAGATTTTTAAGAAAGTAATTAGATATCTTAGACTAACCTGAAAAGAATTCACACCTTACATTAAACAAAATTAGGATTAGATCCCACGAATAGTAAAGTGTGTTCGTCATTTCTATGTTCGCAAATTATTCGTATTCGTGCCGAGCTCTAGGTATAAATTCTATCAAGACCATCTAATATACACATTGACAAAACATAATGGCAAAATATAATGTAGAAAGGTGATTTTGTCATCGTAGCGCTATTATGCTGGGAAAAGTCCTTCAGGTAGACCAGCGTGCACGGAAGTGATAACAGGGGGATCAGAAGCTAAATCATCAGGATGCGCCAGGATGTTGTCAGATTCAACAATCAGCGACGATGACCAGGTCTCAATATCAAAACCATGCTCATTTTCGGCCACAAGCACATCATTTGATGGTCCTAACTTACTGCCACTAATGGGCAGCAAAGACTCTGTAAGGATTTGAGGAGTACCACATGCATGGCTGGAGTCAGTAATTGTAATGGAAGATGCCTCAGGTGTGACTGGATTGAGTGTTGCGCGTAAGTCGGATGCTTTGATAGCAAGGTGGGCCATAGAAAACTGAGCTTTGCACTCATTTAGGTCATACGGTAGCGGCGCCGGCAGTCGATCTTCCAATCCGAGCGATGAGTGGAGTTGTTCCTGGAGATGAACCAGAGCTTGAATTGCTATTGGCGTTCGTAGCTTGTCTTCGTTCGGTTCATTTCCAACGGAATTTCCCCTGCTCGAGGAGTCGAGAGCCTGGTAGGTCGACACGCAGTGATATATGACCTCATCGATACAGTATCGGGCTAGTAGGGTATCCTTGGTGTCCTGGAAGGAATGAAGGTACATAAGAGTCAGGAACACACATTGAAGAGGTCCAAAGTGGCTGCAGCAAAACCACACGTACGGCGAGAACGCAGGAGCCTGATAAAACTGCAGATATATACGCAGGTAATTCACACAGAGCTGTACTATGCTAAAAAATCAATTGAAAGTTAATAATTATAGTGGCAGACACTGTCGCAGTGGTATATTAAACATGAACATTGAATGTAGGCGAAGGGGATTCTTACCAAGTCCATGACCTGCAAGATTGAGGATTTGTATTATCTGCTGGGGGCAGAAATGGCTTCTACAGTAGAATGGCTATTTCAAATTTCAGCAAGGTCAGCATGATCCGCGCGCATGCTGCAAAGACGTTCGGCTGGTTTGAATCGTCATTGTATAGAAACGGATGTGTGTACGGAGATAAATTAGCAAGAAGAGATGGAATGTATCCCCTTTCAGGTATTCCTTGTGTAGGAATACGGGCGATGAGTGAATCAATCTTCTGCATAAGCTGCTTCGAATCTGTTATAAGATCTTTAAACCCATTATGCGTCGGTCCCTTTACACTTTGTAGGTATGATATGACCCGTGCCTGTATGCTAGCTGCTTCATAGCGCCCAATGGCAAATAAAATGGCAACGGATTGCCCATTCGAAACAGGGTCGGAGGGTGTGAGGTAATCAGGGTGATCACTGGTTCCTTCATTATAGGTGCCAACCATTCTTACAGAATCGAGAGCCTCGTTCCCACAGCATGGAGCAAGCCCTGTAGATACGCTTGACTGCACATCAAGCCAAATAATGTGCCACCAGACCCGACGTCGAATTTCCTGATCGATAGGACTCAGTGCTGACCACAGTCCCTCTCTGTGCAATCCCATAGTTTGGGCAATGCGCAATGTGGTGCTCACTTGAACTAGATTGCATAACGACTCAATGGGTCGGTCCATGAAGGGACTGGTGAGTAAAGTTGAAGTCAGAGTATTCATTGTAGGATGTTCTAGATGCTGACACATATAAAGGCTCGTCGTATATGCAGACTTTAGTTGGCTGACTGTTGTACTCTTCTGTAGGCCCTCAAGATTGGCTTGCATCCATCTTGCCGCTGGGGTGGCGGATGCACCGCAATATAGAACTGCGAAGAGAAGACAGATGAAAGTTGGGTCGTCGAGAAGGTTTTTCGATGGCAAGGATTTTTCACTATTTCGACACTAATCCCAAAAACTTACATACTCTTCCTGTAGATCTGGTGGGTGCAGAAGAGGAAGAATCGGCCACACGGCGATGAAGAACATCTTGAGCAAGGTATCGGCCACGGGCTTAGTGGGAAGGGACCGTAGGAGATTGAACATGCCCATAGATGAAATGTGGGGCAAAGGTAGATCGGGGTGAGCATGGAGGTTTTCATCAAAGAAGTTGTCACTCAGACCCTTCTACAGGAGAGTTGCTAATGGTCAGTGATGATAGACTGGCGATAGATTTAACAAATCTTGGTGTGCTTCGTGTTCACTCACCTTTCCGGCAATGAAACCCCAAAAGGTTCGGCCAATATAACGTGAGCGGGAGCCGCGCCGTAGGCTAAGATGATCATGGCCCAGGGGATCACCGTTTGTGAAGGGGGGCATTGATTGCACTGGCGAGGGATCCCGAGTGGTTGCCGTGCTACTCTGGGAGGCGCTAGGGTGAACCTTAGGGGGCTGGATGACCTCTTCCCACGATGATACTATAGAAAAGACCTCTGACTGCTGTAGTGACTTAGGACTAAGAGTCTGATTTGAAGAACCAGGTCTCAAATGCTCGGGATATGTCGCAGATTCAGCTTCCGCACGCCAATGGGACCTAGAAAGCTCGGGTCTAGCATTTGGTCCGTTGGAGACTCTTTGAGGTGACACTGGCTGCAGGTGCCCAGACTCCTCATGAATCATAGCCTTGTAGACACAATTCTCTTTCATTCGCACACAATTCGTACATTTGGGCTGTTCGCGACCGCAACGAACTTTGCGACGCCGACAGACATTACAACTAAGCGATAAGCGAGGTTTTTTGATCTGGCGATGCTTTTGCGAATCCATTTTCAGAGAAACAGAGATAATTGCCGCGTCAAGAGAGAGGTGTCTTGGGTTGTTGCTAGAAACGTAATCTTAAGTAACTCAGGCGCGGGTGTCTAAAAGCGGTGATTTCGGACTGTAGCCGTGTGGCTGGGATTGTCTAATATTCGAACTTAAGGTAACAAGTACGACAAGATCCAAATTCCATTGTTTTGATCGTACATAATAAGCCAGGAACTTAATATATTATATCCCAAAATCAGCTAAAGCGGCAAGTGGAGTGTGGAGCCGCTACAACCAGGACATGGTCATAACCTGCTATTCTTATGGCCAAGATAAACTTCAACTTTGAAAATTTCTACTTCTCGCGAGGTTTTGATTATACCCCTAACCCACTTTGTAAAAGATGGGTTGCCTAGTAGAGCCGCAGATCCACAGACTAATCTCAATAGTCCGTAGATAGGTCTGAGGACAGGGCTATGTGATACATCAGGGACTTATCTCTGTCTCAGGGTCGCCGCATCTTAATAACGACACATATTGACTACACCACGCGTTCAAAGTGATACAAAATTTCCCTTGCCAAACTGATAGGAACGCCTGCCAATTCTGCCTTGGGTGGACAAAGATACGCTTGGCCTAGTACTAAGCTAGGGCCCATTCAGATAGCCCTCATATGCGTTAAAGGCATGCATGCCCATGGTTGATGTGTTATCTTGAACTCCTGAACCCGGGATGTGATGTTTTATTACCTCTATCCTCGATTCAATAGTTGCATGGATCTCATTGGTTTTCCCAATATGTACTATCCGGGCTAGGTTTAACAGGTTAAATGGATTGAGCAGGGATTCTCAGTCAAAAGCCGTTCGTTTCCGGTTCCAGAATCGGTTGGTTAAAGATGCCCACGTATGGACATCCGTTCTGCTAAGCCAGAATATTCCAGGAGAACTGTCATCGATAGTCATCATTGCTAGAGGAAGTCACCAGCCTGCTCTCTGTAGATTGACCATTTTGATTATAAATCACAAATTTACTACTAACATCGCATTTGACGGATCGCGGAATTCCCGAGTACATGTAGAAAACAACTCTGGAACTCGGACCATCCAAACACGGCCCCGAAATTACTCGTCGGATACGTCAATTAAAAGCTATTTTGTTTGAAAATGGCTCCTCAGAGGCTATCATTGTCTCAATCTCGAATGCCTAAGTATTCAGTTCCAAGGTTTTACGGCAAAGTAACTAACCACAACTTGGTAAATATATCAACTCACGTGAGTTTCAGTGCCATTGGTCCATTGGTCTTTGATTGGATCGCGATTTTATCCACTGAAAGCATTGTATACTTGAATATATTAAAATGGATGTTGAAATCGGGGGAAAATGCTATATCCAGCTTTAGCCAGCTTGCGAGGTTTCCGAAAGCCGTGGACAGCGTAATTCTAATACCAAGATTCTCCAGACCTTTGGGGGTATTATAAATTAACAATGAGCAAAAAAGGAAGGAGGTTAACAATTCACAATGCCAAGAACCGACACGGCGGGGGAATCATTACGGACCTGCGCCAAGGCGTCCATGATAAGTACTAGAATGCGTCCTTCAGATCGACACTTAGAATAACCCGATACAGAATTAGAATATTAAACTAATCCTACTTAGGTAGCGAATGTTGATATTCGCGAACATAGGGGGTTCTCGAATATATTATGAGGGCCGTCGCTATCTACAACGGCAAATAGACCGACCATATATGAACATATATAATAAATATAAACAAAACATACAACAGTCAGGATTCGCATGTGGTCACCTACTATTACTAACTGACCGGCGTGTGGCTTGTGTGTGCCGAGAATGTGGAAGGCGGTTTCTTGGCATTGACCTTTACCAATCATGTTGTCTAGCTAGTTAGTTAGCTGGAGGCTTCTGCATGTCAGCCCCCAAAATGCTTGTCACTGGCCAGAGCCTATTCTGATGGCCTGACCTGGACCTCATATTTTCCAAAACAGGAAAATACGCGATGCCAGCCCGATCCCGTGGGTTGAGAAACCCGCGGGTATTACCATATCTATCCATGTTTCACTAGTCATGGCTTAAGATTTTCACTTCCCTTCTTATACTTACATCTTGCAATTCCCCGGGCCTACAGTCCTGCTCTACCCACGTGTACTATCTCTCACTTGATAATCACTTAAGTACGATTGTATACTGTGTACCGATAGACGATCAGATCTCGAGGGTACACACGCCAGATAGAGTCCTCGATGCTCACGAAATGCCTATTTTTTCAATTCCAGCCATTCTAAAGTTGGCCTGTATTCTTTTCATACTTATTGGGCCTATTACTGCGGTTGAGGTCACTAACAACACAGCTAAATCTGACATAGTTGTCTGCACCTATCCAGTCAGTGGACAATATGGTGCATTCCCGCGAGTCCTCAACTACGTTTCCGTCATCTTCGCAATACTAGCCCGTCATGCCGAATGGCTCGTCACTGGGGCTTTGGCGTCTGTTATGATATTTACCGCTACGGCTGTAGTCCACGCGATGGTTATTCTTGGCCAAAGCCTCGACCCGCCTGTGTTTGATCTCGATATATTGGCAATCACCGCTTTGTTGCTGAGTAATGTCCTCCTATTTGGCCCCATGATGGACTTCTCCAGTACTGTGCGTAAATCAGCGGCACGACCGATTATCGCCATCTGGGGCATATGGGTCTGGTCCGGATTGCTGATATGTATTATCGCCTGGTCGCGTTGTTTGGATGGTCCAAACCCTTCACCCACCCACTCCTTGATCCCTAGTTACATCCCAAAGAGCTCTGAACTTCTCTGTGTGTCGACAAATGGCACTGTCAGCATTTTGCTCCAGACGATAAGCCAACTCAACGAGCAGGTAAAATTCAACTGCACATATGACTGCTTTGCATATGATACTTCTCGCATAAGAGGGCAGGATGAGATCTTGGTCGTTCCACAAGATGCCATCTATAATAACTGGTTTGGAGCACTATGGGGCTTGTCACTCGCTGGTGTGATAGGTGGTGCTGTGGGGTTACTTATGATCCAACTGGGTAAGAAGCCCTTTGGACAGCGTATGACGGAGGCGAGAGAGCAGGATGAGCGGGGTAAGAGAGCAGGTGGAATGATTTATGCTTATCAAACAGCCCGAGGGCAATCCAATACGGGAGGACAATTTATTAGTCGATTATACACATATGGACTTGCCGCTATGTCAATTCCTGCAATCGTCATAGCCGAATACTATCTCGTTGGAGGCCGGGTCCCAAAAGGAGAGGAATACTATGCTATTGGACAATGGGCTCCATTAGTTTCGGCATTATTCGCTGTGCTAGCCTCGCTGTTTGACCATTTTGTTCTGGAGAAATTCCGGAAAGTATCTGAAGGGGGTACGTTCTATTCTAAAGAAGACCGAGAGTCCCCTAGGGAGGAGGAGCATGCGCTGATATCTATGATGAATTCAGCGACAACGCGTCAAATTTCACCCTATCTTCCGCCATTGTCGATTGAAGATTTGGCGACCGAGCCACTTACAGCTCACTCTGGAGACGATCATGTATGATGGTTGATACTGGCTGTGAGACTGGGACTTCTCCACACGGGTGTATGAGTGAGAAAATGGTATGGCAAGGTTGTCAGTTTACAGGGATCTCGATGCACTATTACTACGATATTGATACGTGGAGTAAGTGTGTGGTAAGATGTGTGTTCATTCTAAGTTCCCGCGATGGAATCCGATATTCCCCGATTCCACTGGTTTCATTCTCTTCCCGATTTGCAGTAAACTAGATTCCATCGGTTCTAAAAAATGTTGTGGATGCTATAGAGTAGTAAGGTGTAAGTATAAGGGTTGAGTTCCATTATGTGCTTTGGATTCGTAAACCACAAGAGGAATTGTGCTAAGGCAGGGGTCCGGTCTTCGCGGAGTCTATCCATAGCTGACCTATCAGATCTAAGAGATTTGCTCACTCTTTGTGTCAATTCTCAATCTAACGATCATTTAAACGTTCCCCAGCAGACTTATCGTCGACATCATTCTTCCCCCAAGCTGGAGGAGCCCCTGATCACCACCGAAGGCCTTTTACACCTCACATTCGACAAAACCAAGGTCTCGAGCGAGCGGGGCATGAACGTTCACCCAAGCAGGTTCAACAAGCGCGAAACCCAGCAACTTCCCTCCATAACGAGATCCACTCAGTTTCAAAACCGGATCAACAAGACCGAAGGGAAAACGCCTCCCTACTCGTTCAAGGTCACTTTGACTCTGAAGATGGCACGTCTGCTTTGACACACCTCTGCGCAAGTATTGCTTACGAATCCGCTACCAATCCAAAAGTGCTGATTCTCACTCACTTTTGCTCACTCCATACGGCCAGTCGCGCGGAGATCGGTCGCCGGGCTGGTGCCATGGGGTTAATCGCCAGCTTTATTGGTCAGCTTCTCTCTTACGAACACTATCCAGTGCAATTTGATCTATCTAAAATTACCAAACACGAATTATCACGGATCGAGGAGTTTTCGTTCAAGAAATTGTGTTTTTTTATTCGAAATGCTCATCGCCCAGGTTAAGAAGAAAATCAAGGTTATTTGCATTATTGACAATATCTCATCTTATGAGACAGAAGAAGCGGTGGGCGATCTGAAGTGGTTGGTCTGTTATCTACAAATCTGGGTTATACAGGCAAATCAAACTTCGTCGAAGCCAAGGATGAAGTTGTTAATCACCGATACGAACCAGACCACCCGGGTCTACCGGTATTTTCAGCAAGATGTTATTCTGGACCTTGACAGGAGTGGTGAATCGGGGGAGGATTGGGAGGATGACTCTGATGGGGACAACTGGATAGTATAATTAGGGCTCATCGTTCACAAATTGGCATTATGACGTCTGAAGGGACTCAGCAGTAGGGCGGCAAGGAAAAATTCCTCAAAAGATACAGAATGCAAAATGCAAAATTTGCATTTTGTAATATCTCTTATAGTGTGGGACAATGTGGCATAATTTACGTGGATGAAGTTCCTAAGGATGCATACCCTTTCCGCCGCCTCAATTTCAGGATTTTTGCGATATCCGAGGTGATCCGAGGTATAGATGACTTCTAGTCGGCTAAAATATCACACAAGGGCGAGATGAATTCCAGGAAAATGATATTAATTAGAGAGAATAAATATTGTGACTCTAAATATTCCTAGAGAACACTACTTTCCTGATAACCATGATTCTTAGCCAACTTTCATCACTAAAAAAATCTACCTCTAAACTAACTACTATTATCTCAACTTCTGAACAGCCGTAAACATCTATCCACTAAAGCAATGCTGTTCTAATCGGTGTTTTGGTTAGCGTTGTAACTAAAGTTATAATAATTATGGGATGGTGTCTGTCGGTTGACTAGGTTATTACCGAAGCAGACAGCTATTGATATCGTTTCTGTACGTATATAATAGGTGTATGCATATTGGGTAAAAGTGAAGTGTCATTCTAAAATGCTCAGATGAAAGAAGATATAGTAGCTGCCATGCCAAGATCACATGATCTTGGTATGTCAGCTGATATTCGTTCCAACAGTGTCTATGTTTTAGATAAAGTGTCCGGAGACCTCGAGAAGAGAAAGGTAGATCTAAGAATGATGGTATTGATGGAATTCGGGGAATCTCAGGCCCTTAAGGTCCTGAGGGGCCATCTAGAAGTGCTGGATTTAGAGGCCAGGACAGAGAGTGTGGCCTGCGTGGCCTGCGTGGGCCTCAAGGAGAATTAGTACCAGGGCTGATTGTTGCATCTGACCCACGGGGTTGCCTTGGTGTTCAAGGAATACCAGGAATTCAGGTTTTATGTGGTCGTGACGGTCAAAGAGGATTGCCTAGGCTGCCTGGCCCTCCATGCTTGGCTGGGCAATATGGCCATAATGGGCAAAGAGGATTGCCCGGACCTACTGGACCTGCTGGACCTGCTGGACCTACAGGTTGGCTAGACAACGTGGTCGTGATGAGAGGAAAGGATCCACGTGATCGGGTGGAAGATCTTGGCGGAACAGATGTAATAGTCGACCTGGCCGCGATGGCAAGAATGGGTCTACAGCATCGTGTGGGCGGAATAGCGATCAATCTTCCCGTACTCGACGATCATCGTCTCATAGACATTCACGCTGCCACAGTCCTCATACTTCAACTCCTGAATGGATATCTGGAGATCAGCAAATCATTATGATTAGAAGATAACAAAAAGACAGTTTTCTTAGCACCTAGTAAACTATTAATTATCTATCCTTCAGAGATAAATTATGCGGTTTGACGGTACCATTCCAATCTAAGGGAATAATAACTGTATCCGCGCGAGCTGATATTGCGCTATCTTTCCTGAAACTAACTACAAATTAGGCCCTTTAGAACTATAAAATACCTCATATCGAGAGGCTTTAGAATATAATATAAAGAACAAGGCACAAAAATTAGAATGTTTTTCTTGGCAGATTTAGTCATTGTAGATGTTAGTTAAATAAATAGCTTGGCCATCTAAGATTTGTTCAAACTAACATCACGCAGGATCATAGTCTCACTTTTCGTTACAACCAATAAGATCCAGGTCTGGTCATTTTTGCGCTTTTTATTTTTGCTCGGCCGTGCATGGTCTTGCATAACTATTCCCAACATTTTCAGGTTCCCCTCTTTATTTCTCTTCTTCCTTTTCCCTCTTGGCGATGTTACGGACGAATTGGGCCGTGAAAGTAACTATGTTGAATGACTTGAATTTTTTAAAGTTATTCCCTATAGCCTCTACTTTTTGCTCTAGGGCCTAGTTTCAAAGAAGGACAGCACAACCAGTACTACTCATACATTACTTAATAGCGGCCGCAGGCCAACAGTACGAGGGTATATTTCCCCTTCTTAGTTTTCTCCTCATTCATTTGGTAGGGCGTCGCATCCCACCTATCCTCTAATATACTTAGACTTCTCGTCTTGATTTGGCTTTCGGATCAATAACCAAAACTTTCGAAATTTAACCTTGGAAAAGTCCGTGTTTTGGGGAGGTAACTTGGTTGTATATCTTATGTGCTGATTTTACTGGACAAGAAACAGCATGAACGCCCGTTGAGACGCATCATGAACAAAAATTTCCAGAGCGCCATATGAGAAAACGCCAGATCATGACGGACGGCCGAGCGATGTGTTTGATTAGTCTTCATGGTCATTTCGTAGTGAAGCCTCTTGTGAGCCATAACCCAGCAGTGCCTCCGTACTAAGTTATGTAACTGTCATTCCCCTCTCCCGCATGACACAGTCTGCATCAGCTCTATTGCAGATGTAAACTTCCTTGGAATGCATAGAATTATTATACAGAGCAAGCGTGTGAAGTATACATTGATTCCTAAGGGCGAACACTCATTCGTGAAGCTGTGCATCGGCAAACACAGACACGCACGGGCCGGAAGCGCTAAGGAATGAAATGAGGCTACCTATGACCAAGCCAGAATATCTCTATGATTTCTATTTTTAAAGGAAATTTGGGCTATCTATCAAGCCTAGAAAGAAAGAGGAAAGTGGGGCGACCTGCCATCAGACCCCTGTAGTCTCCTTATCTGTGCGGCTCAACCTAGATATCTACTCAATCTCGAATAAATAGAAGGGGAGGGGCGGAGAAGCTCATATTTAATCCAATGGTCAGTTTGAATGTGGGGCTGAACAGATTTAATTCTCGGCACAGTCTGGTTGCATGATATAAGCGTTAAAAGAATCCATACCTCCTCGATCTATATCATCAATTTTGTTTTCAAAACGTTAGAAGTGATCTTCAGTCTTTCTTCTCTAATCACAGCTCCTACGATCACGGCTTAGTGTATAATGGTAGATCCTTTTTCAATAATAGGCGTTGCCTACCCCATTGCACAAGACCTATTCAGGCTTGCCAAGATAATGCAAGCCGCATACTGGGGAATTCGCCATGCAAAACAAGATCTCTGGAAAGTGATTGAAAGAACAAAAATAGTGGCCCGAACCTACGAATTATTTAGGGATACAATGAAGGGCGCGAAAGATATTGAAGAGTTAGCTCCAATGTTCAAACGACATCGAAAGCTCATCAAAGGAGTGAAAACGGAATCAAAGCGTATCATCAAGAGCCTAAAATGCATCACAACCATTTTCAAATCCATGATAACTGTGAAGCCTTCTAACTCGATTGAAAAATGGATCGCACAGTATGAATGGTGATGATGATGATGATGATGATGATGATATTCTATTAACCTGATGCTGCCTAGCTAGAGTCGCTATGGCAATGCAGGCGCTTCATCCGTCCGAAGCAAGAATATGCCCGTACGCCGTGCCCACGCAGTAGAGAATGACTAGACAAAAGAAATTGGGTGTGAACCCGTACAGGTAAAATGAAGCCCAAAATAAATCCCAAAATAGAGCCAAAATGGAGACCGAATCCCACCCAGAATGTATTGCTATGCAGTGTGCAATGCAAGATACGTTTTGATATCCCCAATATCACTCCTGTGCATCTTCCCGATGTCTATAGTCACTTCCCCTGCCCCTCTGACGTTGACACCTCCTCGCTTCCTTCGATAATGTTCGTCACTTATTTTCGCTGTCGTCGTGGTCGGTATCTCAGCTACCGCTCACTTTGTTGTTGGATACGCATCGTCTTCACCCCTTGCCCGTTCCGGTCAATCCCGGTATGTTGGTTCAGTGTCATCGTCGGGCTCAGGTTCAACATCACATTGTCGAAACTGCCCGAGAAGACCGGTTGATAGCATGAATTCGGCGACGTAGCGAATCGCCTGTGGGTGAGACATGATGGCCTCATAATCCGTCGGGTCCGTCAGGTCTGTCCGCCTGACTTTTTGCATGAATTCCATTCTCCTCTCTGTATACAACGGACACTGGAGGAGGACATGCCTCGGTGTTTGTGAGCCCTCCTCGCAGCTGCACCTGTCCGACTCCGCTTCGTTGATTTTGTATAGGAAGTGGCGCAGACCAATCCGCATCGACCTCATCTGTATCAAAATCGACGTATATGGTCTCGATAAGCCCTCCCATAATTTCAGAACCTTCTGGTGCGGCACGCCCACTAGCCTCTGGTTTGGTTTTCCAGTCTTTTCCTTCGCCCACTGCTTCGCCCACTCTGCACGAATTCGCGCTCGTACCTGCCGTTTGGCATTGGTCGCTAGTCTCAACTTAGGGCTCGCCCCGGCCCCGGAAGAATGTGGGTCCGCTTCCGACCCCGCCACCCCTTGTTTCGCTGCCTCCTTCGCCGCACAATCCGCCATCTCATTGCCGACCACGCCTATATGTGCGGGTATCCACCGGATTTATACCGAGTGGCTAGGCGTGAGGGCACGGATGTGGGCATAAATTGCGTGGAGAACATGTTGGCCGGAGGGACGTTTGGGGTTTTGCACAGCTTGGATTGCAGCCTGCGAATCTGCGAAGATAACTAGTTCACGTGGGGATGATTTGGACTTACTGAAGTGGCTGATCGCCATCTCTATTCCTGTTAGTTCGGCAATATATACTGTTGACTGGTCAGAGCTGCCTAGGTGTTGGCGCTCTGACGTCCATGGTTCCTCTCGTGGGGCTACCGCGGAGGCCCCGATCATACCCTCATAACCACTTCCGTCTGTGAAGAACACTACTGGAGGGATTGGGATAGGATCACAGTATGAATGGTTCAGAGCGAATAAGAAGGTCGTCCCTCCTCTTTTCCAGGATATGAAGGTTTTGGAAAAATCCATGAGGACAATTGGTACTCTAGTGAATACTTAGATACTTGAAAAGGCCTACCAGAGAGATAAATCTACTCTCATCTTAGAAAGAATGTAAGAATTATCCCACATTCAGACTAACATCTGGCATCTTGTCCTCTACTGACCATGTGTTTGGCAGAAAGTCTTCCCAAAACACCTTGAAAATCGAATTGAACAAGCTACAGAACGCTCAACGCGTACAGAGGGAGGTCTTTTTAAAGCACGGGATCTCCAAAATCCAAGACCTTGAGCCGAACCATTTTGCTCAAGAGATACTAAAGATCCTGGAAAAAGAGATTCCTGAAATCCCCAGGAATAATCTCCCTGATAGCTCATACACATTTCACTCTCATCTATCAGCAATCTCTTCAGTATCAGATGAGCATTCGCCATTGATAACACCTTCTCTTTCAGCTCATTACGAAGATGAAGATTGGGCAACAGCCACAGAGTCGCAAACCGCGAATGTATTATTGTCCAGACGGAAAATTTCGCGGAGAAGAGAAACTCATTCAGAGCCTCCAGTTAGTAAAGCAATTATCTATACCATCCTATATGTATATACTAATAACATTAACAGCAATCACGTCCACCCACATTTCCGTTCTCATCTTTCCTTTCGAATGTAACAGAATTCGAAATCCAAGACAATGAAAATTTTCAGGAAGGAAAATATGAGAATGAAGACCGAGAAATGAAAGGCGTATACATGCAAATGCCACCTAAGCTTGCTCCTCGCCCGCGTGCCGGACAAAATACCTCTAATGAAGCCAATATGTCCGGAGGCAGACTTGATAAGCAGCGACACAGCCCCTAGAGTCATGGAGTCCTGTTTAGAGTGAGGAGCGAAATGATAGCAGCATATTTGGCTATGGAATTGAAGGCGAGGCGACCGCTGGAGAGTAGAAAATCGCAAGAGCAGAGATTAATAATTAGTCGGTCCTGTTGAATCAATTTCTGTATGAATGCATGCGTATAGTTCAATACTAAGTTACTCCTGTGGATGACCTTCTATGTCGGCTAATCCATCCCACTATCCAGTCAATTGCATCCTCTTGGCTGACCACTTTATTAGGCCTACTGTGCCCTGAATCGACAGCTACCTAATGTAGTGGGGGACTCACCTGACACTAGTGGAGATTGTGTATTTGAGCATTCAGTTGAGAGATTAGACCATCAGACTACCTTTACCTTCTTGAGCTACCCCTTGGTTCTCCTTCCTTTCTCCCACGCAGCCCCTAGAGGACAGACTCTGACTACATCTACCATACTCCATGATTTAGCTAGGTTCGCAGACTGGCTAGGACGTCCCTGTTCCTTGTATCACTAGGTAGTAACCATACTGTAAGTAAAGTAAAGTGTATTTGGCATTAGGACTCGGGAAAAATCGAAGAGTGTAGGAGACCCCCGAGCTAGGAGCATTCATAAGTTCACGCCTGAATATTGAAAAATTGCCCTCGGTGAATCCGCACATAGTAAGTATGTTCCGAGATCGGTGCGACGAGGTGGAAAGACTACGATTTTCCAACTTAATACCACGTAGAATCATGGTCTTTCCACTGTCACTACCCTATTATTACGTATCTTTAACACCCATAAGGTCCTGAGATCGAGTCTCAGTCTGGTCATTTCTTTTATGCGGTTTTTTCATACCTCCGAAAAAGATTTCGTGCGCTGTTTCGCTCAGCTTAAACTATAAAATCTAAGCTCTTTTTAGATTGATATGTTGTATCCCACGCCGTTACACTAATATAGCTATAGGATGAAAGCAAACGTACTATGGTATTGTGTATCCTGTTGGTATCGTCGATCATACTTGTGCACGAAACTCAAGCTTGTTCTACATGATCCTGGTGTATATCTTACCGCTTTCATATCACGCTTCATTCCTTTAAAGAGGCGAATTGATAGTCACACTATTTGCCAGGAGTGTGCTATTAAACAAAGCTGTAACTATATAGAGGATGAACTAGACATCATTTTTAAAGCGAAAACACAAGTTATAAAGAACAAGAGACTATCTTGGGCATGCCGTGAATAGAATTTTTGGGTTTCAGCTTTAGAGCGTGAGATAATATGTCGTGCTATTGAAGAATGAGAGCTCGCCCTAAATTTTCCGATCATTATTCAGCCAGGTTAGATAGATTTCAAAATTATCCAAGAAGTCTGGAACTTACTATCTCTTATACAGTCGTTCTCGAAATCGGCTTGACAAACACGCACCGAGTAACTCTTTCCTGACCCACTGCCAAAGCTATAGTGTAAATCTTTTATTTAGCCGGCCGGATTCAATTGAGGGAATAAGAGAGGCGCTAGGAAGATACACACTAAAGAAAATTCTGGTGCCAGTAGTAAATCGATCCCGCGGTGAAGAAAGCACGGCGAGGAAAGCGAAGAAAGGTAGTACAGCTTACATCGGCCACATATCCTGATGATCAAAGGCCCTGGTTGCAATTCTGCAAAGCTTATCCAGGTTGAATGGGAGGAGATCATGGGGATTTTGACCGTCTAGGATAAAGGCTGATCCGAAGACGTCTTCTCGGGTCACAAAGAGGGGGAGTTCGGGGACTGTAGGGACGGGAAAAATGTGGCGCACTTCATCTTTGTACGGGATTCCCTGTTGATTCAACCGCCAGAATTCAAGTCGGGTCCTTACTTGTTTCCGGGCCTGTTTATACTGCTTAAGGAGCACCACTAGGCGAACAGTCGGAGCGCCTCCGATTAAAACTTTCCGTGCATTCTCTTTCAAGCTTTCATATGATTGGAAAAATCTAGCTTCAAAAAATATGCTCGGAATAGGAGACAGCTTTTTGCCCCGAGCATCCCAGCCGGATGAAGGGGCGCGGGAAGACATGACACCAGTGTCCGGCTCTTTTTTGAGGTTTCTCCGGGGTGCTCGCGGACTTGCGTGAAAAGATAATCGCCTGGGCTATCCTTCGTAATTTTCTGAATGACTTTTGCTTGAAAACACTCAAATTGATCGAAGTCGTTGGTGGAGGTAATAGTAACGCAGACAGGTGGGATGGAAAACGGAGATGAAAAACCAGGAGAAAGACGAGTGATGGGACTAGAGCTGTAATCATCAGCCGATGGACTTGACATGATGAAAACTAGATGATCTCAACGAAGGGAAGTTTCCCAAGAGAGGTTTTAGCGTTGCGTATGCCTAGATTATGAAGAAGGTGCAGCTGGTGGTTAGCTGAAAGATCTGATAATAGTTGCTCAAGTAAGAATCGCCTTATCATGAAACCAATCAGGATTACGCTTAGAAAAGAAGTGCCTAGATAAAACGTGATGAATTTTTGAAGCTGAAGAAGTCTACAAGTAAATAATCAAATATTGTTTTCCATCTCCCGTCATTTCATAATGATGATATGATTACCCTAGTTGTTGCGTTTTGAGTGGGCTTCGGTACGGCCCGTCCCGAAGGAGTATATAGAACAAATTCATAGACAAGAACGATCCCAAAAATCTCATCGACGAACTTGATATTATCGAGGGTAAGTAATAACCAGCTAATTACACCAAATAACTAGTTATTCTGATATTTCATAAGGACAACCTCCGTCGCCGAGCATCAAGTAATTTATGGGATCAAAGACATCCTAAAGATATCCCTCTAGATTCTCAGTTTTCAAGAGAGATTACTACGAGACAAATTGAGGCACGAACACGAATGATGGAAGCTAAAGCCCGAGAGAGAGAGGTCCGAACACGCGCATTAGAGCTAGAGAATGAACGTCAACAGCTAGCCCTAGAACGTGAGCGGTTAGGACTAACTAGATAGAGGAATTACCAGAATAAAGTAATTTTGAACAATAACTAGTTATTTGGTAAGTATTAGAACGAAGATCAGCTGATATACCAAGATCATGTGATCTTGGCATGTTATCAAATGAGATTTTTGACCGTTCAACCACCATTGGTTGACGAAACTGGATTGTCTATCTAGGGATGAAATCCTGCTTAAAGAGAGTAGTTTTATTGGGGTTGCCTCACAGTGCCTGCAGCCTCACGTGATGTCTACACCGACATTACTGAGGACCTCCCCCTCTACGACTGCCTCACGAGAGTCAGTTCTTGCCTCACGAGAGTCATTTGCTTGTCTACACAGGTAGTTCGTCATCTCTTGCACAGTCAAGTCTCGTTTTTGTCCCTCCCGCCTCCCCTCTGTATATAGAATCTACTATAATACAGACACATTGCCTCCGACCAGGGAGCGCGAACGGGCCCCCATGTGACGCTACGTTCTACGATCGCAGCGACAGGTGACCCGTTATGGCCAGACTACACTCTTCTTTCTCCATTTAGCCGCGTGAGGTCACCAATAAATACACACATTATGGATCCTGCTTACGTACAGCATAAACCCCGTATCGGACCTTTGACACATGGCAGCTACTATATCTTCATTCATCTGAGCATTTTAGAATGACACTTCACTTTTACCCAATATGCATACACCTATTATATACGTACAGAAACGATATCGTTGGTACTATCATCTCGTGCTTATCATGTGACTTCCAAGTACCATATCCATAGCAGCAGTTTCATGATAATCAACCACTTCTTACAGCTTACAACTACCGCACGTACTACACGCATACGTAGACCACTTGCGGCGTAAGCTAAAGTCCAATAGCAAGCTATTGTAGATACTCACGACCTGAGTATCCCGACATGTAACGGGCTGATACCCGCCATAGGGATTCTGGTGCCCATCATCCATTTTTACTGCAGTAAGAACTGTAACGGGTCGATGCCCGCCATATGGATCTCGGTGCCCATTATCCACTTTTACTGCAGTAAGATCACGTGACTCGAAGAACCTTCATCCCCGACTCCACGTCGACCTTCTTACAACCCTTAAGGATTTTGTACACAGTTTGTGACCTAGCTAGTTCTGAATCTAAGTTGAGCTTTAGCCCTTCACACGACAGATATCAATAGCTATCTGCTTCGGTAATAACCTAGTCAACCGACAGTAAGAATAGCCGGATACTCGGTAAAAAAAACCTTATGATCGACCCACTTATAATAAATATATAACTAGCTATTTCCCTGGTTTCTTCTTTCCTCTTCTTCATCTCTCTACAATGGCACAAATTATCAATCACCCTTCCTATGTACGATATCTTGAGGAATCACCTAGTCTTCCACCTCTTCAATATAGAGTATGTTAACTAGCTAAACCCTACTAATAACTAGTTATTAATATATTATAGGATGGGAAGAATGGCTCACGTGAGGTAACTCTTTATCTCCATGAGGTTTATTGTCGTCATTGTGGGCATGAGAGGCGCTATAGCTCACATCGTGGCTTACGGCAACACTTTAGTAATGCTCATAAGGATATTATTCTAGTAGAGCATAAAGGCCGATCTACAAAGAGCTTAATTACTGCATCTCTAGGTATGAATAAGTCTTATAGCTATTTTTATAGTATTTTACTAATAATATAGACTTTTATACTCAACTTTTCACTACTAAGTCTGTGAAATATGAGTCTAAAGCTACTCAAACCACTGAAATAGAGCCTATTGAGATTCAATCCGCCGATGAAGAGGTTATTGAGATTCAAACCACTAAAATAGAGCCTATTGAGACTTAATCTATTGAGGCTATTGATCTACGGCCTTACTTACCACTCAAAAATGACAAGACCATAAGTAATAACTAGCTATTCCTAGTTATTAACTAACTGTTGGAATATGGAACAAAGCTGTAACGGCGTGGGCTGCAAGAAGGCTGAGAGAGGCAATGGACTCTCTACATAAGCTGGCTGAACCAGCTGTCAGGGAAGCAGGGGTTCCCCGGATAAGCTAGTTAGAGATCTGCCACTTCCTGATGTATTTAACTCTCTGAGGTCTTTGGACTCTTGAAGGAGTTCAAGAGTTGTTCTTGTCCCCAATTTACCCTAGGGGAATTGAGCCCTATGGGATACCACACCCACACCTCCGTCCTCTGGTGGCCTTCTCATAATAGTTCTTCTCTTGTTTACGGTAGCCCAACCGCATTGGACTCTAACCCTTACAAAAGCAGTCATGTGATCAAATTGTTACTTTATAATAGATAGCAAGTTAAGAATGAAAACCAGACTTTACAACCACTTCAAGAAGACACACAGATATCATAGGGGCGTAAAGCGTTACTTGTGATAGGTGTCAGAAGTAGGCGTTAGCCTCTTATCAACTCTATCGAGTTGCTATACCCACCGGTGTACCGACACTAACTATTATAGTGTAAGGGTTAGAGTCCAATGCGGTTGGGCTACCGTAAACAAGAGAAGAACTATTATGAGAAGGCTACCAGAGGACGGATGTGTGGGTGTGGTATCCCATAGGGCTCAATTCCACTAGGGTAAATTGGGGACAAGAACAACTCTTGAACTCCTTCAAGAGTCCAAAGACCTCAGAGAGTTAAATACATCAGGAAGTGGCAAATCTCTAACTAGCTTATCCGGGGAACCCCTGCTTCCCTGACAGCTGGTTCAGCCAGCTTATGTAGAGAGTCCATTGCCTCTCTCAGCCTTCTTGCAACCCACGCCGTTACAGATACCACACACACACCCGTCCTCTGATATTCTTCTCATAATAGTTCTTCTCTTGTTTACGGTAGCCCAACCGCATTGGACTCTAACCCTTACACTATGCTTCTAGCTCTGCTCCTGACTATGGCTCTAGCTGTGGCTCTGGTGTATAGAATACAGCATTCTCTATACTAGGAAGATGTCTTACTCTTCTGATTGATTGTTCAATTGGTTGTTCAATTTAGACATGTTCATTGGGTTGGGTAAACCCATACCCAACCCAACCCAACCCACAATGGGCTGGGTATGGGTCAGAAATTTTACCCAAAACCCATATGGGTTGGGTATGGGTTTGAAGTAAAACCCACACCCAGCCCATAAACCCATCTTTTTGCCAAGACTTGTCAAAGGCCCGATTCCATTTACAGTTAGTCTATTTTAGTCAGCATTGGAATCCCACAATGGGATTCCTCCATTCTACAATAGATACACATACACACTTTGGTACGCATACTGCGTTCTCATTTGCCCACTAGAATCCACTATTCCTTGGTAGTCGACCTCCATTTGACAAGACTTTTATTTCACGTGATATTTGTCACCTAGTTAGTACTAGATTGAGGCAAAAATTAGGCACTAAGGCACTAATTACCCTAATTTAGTTTAGGTTGAGGCGAAAATCAGGCATTAAGGCATCAAAAATACCCATATGGGACCCATACCCAACCCATACCCACGTGGGTTGGGTTGGGTATGGGTATGGGTTTACCTTACCCCTGATGGGTTGGGTATGGGTATGAATTTTGACCCATACCCAACCCATGCACATGTCTAAACCCTGAAATAAAAGTTAGCTGGTTATTGTTAAATATTAGCTAGTTACTTACCTTTAATCTTCTCAATTAAGAGATCATAATCAAATTGTGATTTACATAGAGGGAGTGCTTCAAGGATTGCTCGAGACTGAGGATAAGGCGTGCCCCTTTGATAATGGATCATCTTACGGATTGATTATTTAAAATGAACTTGACAGAATATCATGATGCTTTGGCATTGCCAAGCCCAAGACCGGTGCGCAGGATCAATATCTCGAAGATAAAGGCCAAGTCCTATATAGCTAGTTAATATAGCAAAATATCCGGTTATTGAAAAACAAACCTTTCATTTGTCCTCTATCTATATCGGCTATGATGGCTTGCCAGTTATTTTCCAGAGTAATGGTACAGTATAGTACCCTGCAATATGCTGGAACGGACCTTGTATGATATACATTGAAAATACATTGAAAATGATATCTGTCCAAAATACTGCGGTAGTGCTGATTCCAGAGCCCAACACAAGATCTGAATTCGAGGGAAAGTAAGCATAATCATAAAAGCGCCGACTCCAGCCCAGTAAAGATAGTCCCAGGTTATGCTACAGCGCCATCTATAATCTAATACACAAGCTTCTTTGCGTTTATTGTATCACGAAAATGAAACTTGATAGAGACCAGCAATAAGGCATAGAATTATGTAGATATTTTCAGCAATTTTTGAGCTGCCAATCGCTGGGAGGTTCTGACTATAGTTGTTAAGTCTTCATTCCGGCTGAGGTCCAACTCACAAAGAAGAATACCACTCAAAAATAGAGCCATACCCCATCTTCCTGGAGACAGGGTGAGAATGACCAACAGGATAAGGAATCAAATCCGTACTTGGCTTCTTATCCGGACAAGAAATAAACATGTTAGAGATACAATCATGGATCCCCTGAATAAAACTAGAATAGTCCATAAATACGAATCGCATAAAAAGGCTGAACTCTCATTCCGCCACGGATTTGCCAGTTCGTTGATTGAAAATTGAAACCATTCAGTGATCTGAGCCCAAAGACTCTGCTAGGATTCAGGATGAGTGGGCTGTCTTCCCGGTATTTCGTCATAAGGGAATGAATAAAGGCCAAGAAAAACAGAAATCATGAAAACAATGTAGAAGTGATTGGAGGAAGATAAAGACAAATTGCTCTGCAGAATATTGAGCTTGATAGATCAAGTAGAATAGATGGCCATGACTGAGACCGAGATAGTTTTAATGAGCGAGCAACGAGAACATATCCAGAGGCGATAGAAAAGATTGGGGCTAGAGGGCCAGAGAAGAGGAGTCATAAAATGTGGAGTCGAAGAACCCCATTGAAGCCCTGTTATCCATATCCGAGATCGGGATGTTGTTGCCAGGGTAAAGCAAAATGTTTGATTAAAACAAGAAGAGAAACTGTTGGTACTATCATCTCATGCTTATCATGGGATCACTCGCCGCTTATCGGGTAGGAAGCCACATGTCAAATGGGTGGTGGTTTAGGCTCGATTGGGCCTAGTTAGCCTGATTTGGCCTGGTTTGTAGGGTTTGCATTACCCACTTTGTATCACTATTTTAGGCGAACTTCATCCCTAGTTTAGTAATTCAGTTTCATTCATTTGTGGCATTTGAATGATTGGCCAGTCTGAACCAGTCGACTTGACACCACATGCTTATCATGTGACTTCCAGGTACCATAACCATAGCAGCAGTTTCATGATAATCAACCACTTCTTACAACTTACAACTACCGCACGTACTACACGCAAAAGTAGACCACTTGCGGCGTAAACTGAAGTCCAATAGCAAGCTATTGTAGATACTCACGACCTGAGTATCCCGACAGAAACTAAGCCTCTCAAGCCATCAAGGTAAGCTGTACACCGCAGCTTCCTGGGCATACCATTCTGTTTCTCTTCTGGGCTTAACCATGATGGGGTGAAAATCGATCTTATGAAGGAGATAACTCTTGAATTTGAGAAAGTACACGAACGGCTCTTTGCAAAGTCTTCAGAGACAGCGGCATTCTATTTTCCATATCATTAAAAGCTAAGAAAGACTCGTGAGCTTCAAGTTCAATAGAGATAGCCCTAGAGAGAGTTCACAACTGATATGTCCAGAATTTTTCATAGAATATTGGAAATATCGTGGCTCTGCTGGAAGTTAGATGAGAAGATAGCCCCAAAAAATTGCGAAATATCATAAGTTCTTTTAGCGTCTAATTTTTAAATTAGCCGTTTCTAAAAAAAGACGACTTTGTATTATTTCTTTACTTTCCAGATGGGAAGCTACTTCGCATGCAGCATGCCGATGAACGAAGTACATCCCCACCCTTCCTCCCCCTCCTCACAGTACTTTAGTATTTTGTATTCCGTACTTTAGCTTTGATACAAGTACGTGCCCCATTAATCCGTAGTAGAGTTATACGGAAGTTTTTGATTTGATCGCATATGTTGGACTCCAAGACCCATACCCAGTTAGTATCATTTTAATCAATTTTTGTCAACGCAAAAGACTCGGAGTCCGGCGGTGGTCGTTCGCTACTTTGTAGCAATTATTAGCTCGCACATGTTAAATAAGAACCTAAGGTTACTTACCACTCGATAAGTAGGTAATTTTTTCCTCTTTAGGCTACTAGTCACCGGCAATTTCTCTTTTCACATACATTCTTGTTTCTCCATCATGGATATTGCAATTGGAGCACCGCAGCAGCCCATAAACTTCGAAATATCTCCACAATTGCTGATTGAGGAGGCAAATAAAATTACGAGTACTACGAAGTCTCTCTGGAATACACTGGTGGCCACTATCAGTGTTAAGGATGCTACTTTTGTGAATACCGTATGGCCAGTTATTCAAGACGAAAACTCCTGTTTTGAGAGAGAGCGTATCCTGCGCTTTTATGCATCAACTTCTCCATCCAAAGATTTACGGGTTGCCTCAAAGACAGCATTCAACATATTTTCTGATGCCAGAGTCGATTTGTTTTCTCAGCTTGAAAATTTTCGCCTGATAGACAGTGTCTTCAAAAATGCAGCAAACCAAAAGCCTATCTTAGATAGTGAATCCGATCACTATCTTCGGAAAATTCATCGAAAATTCATTCAAAACGGATGTGGTCTCACGGATGAAGCCCTCAGGAAGGAATTTAGCATCAAAATGAAGCGCATAAGTTACCTTGAGCTCGAGTGCAACAGCAATCTTGTCGAAGAAACTACGGGTCTTTGGCTCACTCGTGAGGAGCTTGGGGGATTATCAGACGCGACACTAAGCCGGCTTCATGAAGGTGAGGGTAGCCAAGTTGGCCGCCTTTGGCTGCCTACTAAGACTCCGACCAGCACCCCAGCAATGGAGCAGGTAAAGCGTGAATCGACTAGGAAGAAGATACACTATGCTATCAAAAATCGAGTCATACAAAACGCACCTCTCTTTCAAGAACTAGTGCTGCTTCGCGATGAAACCGCCAGAATCCTAGGGTATCCAAATCACTTCATGATGAGAACAACTGGTAAGATGATTCAACATCCCGAGATCGTTATCAGGCTACTATCAGAGATTCGCGACGCTTTAACCCCCCAGGCTAGAGTTGATGCAAAAGAATTTCTCCAGATGAAGCAGCAGGAGCCAACTGCCTTTGTGGAAACCAAGAACATATTGTTTCACTGGGATGTGCCATACTACCATACGCGAAAACTTAAAAGAGAGGAGCCACCGGAGTTTTCACTCTCGGAATACTTCGAGCTAGAGACGACGCTTACAAAACTTCTCCAGATGTTTCGACATCTCTTCGGAGTAGAGCTTCGTGCAGTCGATACTATAACCTATAAGCACCTTATTTGGCATGAGGATGTGAAGATGTACACTGCTTGGAATATTGATGGCTTACAAGAGGAGTTTCTTGGGTACGCTTATCTCGATCTCTTTCCTAGAGATGGGAAGTATAGTCATGCAGGGAACTATGCATTACAATATGTAAGCACCATTACTTCTCTAAGTGCTAAGTTAAAAGAAGATTGGATCTAATGGCCATATAGGGATACCAGCGCCATGATGGGACTCGCTTTTACCCATCCTCGGCTTTAGTCATGAACTATTTTAAGCCAGCTTTTAATAAGCCGACTCTTTTTAGCCTAGATGATGTGAGAAAATTGTTCCATGAGCTAGGACATTTATTCCATGCACTTTTCACTACAACAAGGTTTGCAGGATGTTGTGCTGTTGATCGTGACTTTGTGGAGATACCAAGTTTATGTCTTGAGCAATTCTTTTGGGTAGAGCGTCATATTAAAGAGACCTCGTTCCATTATTCCTATATCAATTCTTCGATGAAGGATGCCTGGATAGCAAGTCTTGGAAATGGTCAACAGACCAATCTTCCGAATATGCCTCCTCTTCAACTTGACGACAAACAAGTGGCAGATCTATCTCGCAGAGGCAAAGCCAGAGCAGCCCAAGGGCAGCTAGGTAATGTCTCCTTGGCCACCTATGATGTACTTGTTCATAATCCAAGTTCAAGCGAGGAGTTGAGAAGAACTAATCTCACGGAGCTGTTTAATAAGACGCAATCGGAAATCCTAGGTGTTGGAGGAGGAGAGCTTTTAGGAGAGGGATGGGAGTGGGGCCATGGCCAGACGGTTTTTCGAGCCCTGGTTAACAAATACGATGCCGGGTACTACACTTATCTTCTGTGGGTCTTCTATGCCTTGCTTTCATGTTCTCAAAAAAATTTAATGATTTAACAGGGGCAGAGTGTTTGCTTTTGATGTTTTCAAGACCGGGTTCAGCCAGGATACAATGAGTACAGAGGCTGGACGAAGATATCGTGATATGATACTTCGAAAAGGCGGCTCCCAGCCTGAGATGAAGACATTGAGGGACTATCTAGGTCATGAACCAACTGCTAAGCCATATCTCCAGTGGCTCGGAGTGAAATATAGTGAATATTAGATGGAGTTATTGGCGGTTAGCACATATTACGGTTTATTTCTTTTTATCCATTATGAGCCCGGTAGAAGTCAGGTAAAGGGATGAGTTCTGTTGGAAGAAATGGCGAGTTATGCATGTTCAAGGCAGGTTCCGCAAGTGTCTTGCTGTAGCGAAGTTTCTGCCTCCGTGTCACGGAGTTGATAAATCTGAAAATCATGTGACCATTATGTAATATCCACAACTACTTAACCGATCCGTACCCGGATCCATGATTTCTCCAAGAATCAGTCTTGAAATTTATCGAGTTCTTGTTCCCATTTTAAGTCTTCTCTATAAAATCCAGTAACCCCTTACAGATTCATACTGTCACCTTATCTCTCGTATCATTCAAGTAAAACTTAACACTATATTAGGGCAACGGCTATGCCCAAACAGAAGATAGCTGTCGGTTGACTAGGTTATTACCGAAGCAGACAGCTATTGATATCGTTTCTGTATGTATATAATAGGTGTATGTATATTGGGTAAAAGTGAAGTGTCATTCTAAAATGCTCAGGTGAAAGAAGATATAGTAGCTGCCATGCCAAGATCACATGATCTTGGTATGTTAGCTGATATTCGTTCCAACACTGGGCATACTTTAAGAGGGGTAAAACGCGGTCAACTGATAAAATCAAAGTATCATAAGCTCGCATGGCAGTCCTGAGTTCCAATCTTCTGCCTTAAAAATCAAAGTCTCTATTTTTAACTTCCAAATTCAATTCGATCGCTCGACCCAGCCAATTGCCTTTAGATTGATTTTGTTCGTGTCAATAAGTTGAGTTAACGTATTGCACGGTTTGGCCTTGGTCATTGCGTCTGCTGGGTTGGAGGTTCCATCAACCCACTTGATTGACGCGATTTGGCGGCGTTCATACGCCTGTCGCAGGCATATTACGTCTATCATTAGGTGCTTTTCCTATATAGACCCGAGCCGCACGAGGCAATCGTATAATGATTTCGAATCGGTGCATAAAACGATTGGGAAGTTCGCCTTTAGCATTTGATCCAAAGTTGACTTGATCGCGAAAGCGATATCTGAACTATGAACTATGGCGTAAAGTTCGGATGCCAAAACGCTCCTAGTGATTCGTTTATATTTGATCGAGCTCCAGTGAATGATATTAGCGTTGGCGAAGTTATCAATCTAGCTGGGTTCTGTGGTCTTGGTGTTGTCGATTTGAACGTTTCCCTTGTCGGCGAGCATAATGATATAGCCAATTTATGACGAGAGGTCCTTGTTGTTGGCAAATGATGCGTCTGTAAAGATAAGAAGTTGGAGTGATTTTATGTCTAAATCGACGAACTTGAGTCCTCTAGAAGAATTTTCTCTTTACCAATTAAGCCGTTTGTTTAGTAACTTATAGTCATCTTTGTCCAGGTGGGTCGCTTAGGCAGCGAATGATAAGTCGAACATAGCTTTAGGTTGATATACTGAAGCTATATAGGCGCCTCTCGCGCGCTCGGCGATATATTTATCTTTAGTGTTGGCAAGGGAGATCTTATCGCATTGGCCCTTCTGCGCAAGGGTGATGCTTCTATCTGTTACCAATTCGATGACTCCACCATTGAATTTTAGTGGATTTTCAATGGTTAGTTGTTCGCGTTCTTTCGCCGCGAAGTTTGCCTTTTGTAGCTCCTGTTTTTCTGCTTCTACAAATTCGTTATCTATAAGGATAAGAGTATCATCTGTTTGAAGTCCGACGATACCGAATCCTTTCGAATCTGTTATATATAGAAGATATAGGTCAAATGTCGACTGGTTCATTTTTAGGTTTATCGAATGGTGGGAGTGATATGTCCTGAACTAGTGGTTTCCTGCTTCGGGGATGCCATAGAGTGGCTTAATGACCTTTAGAAGTATGTTTTTCCTAAGGTGGCCTATCAGTTCCTTCGGCGGGCGTGCGTAAAATTCATGGTTTAGTATGGTCTTTGATTAGATGTACGCCTGGGAGATATCGCGGAGGAATAGCTTGGATTTAGCGGTAATGCCTTGGCGACTTGTAGCGATATAAAGGATTAGTCTCTGACTGACATGTTGAATCGTTGGCGATTGAGTCAAAACCAGGTCTTTCTCTTAGTCGTTATATGCTTAAATAACTAGTCTTGATTTTTCGAAAGCCCGCTCTATGCCTTTATTCTTGATATCGTCAACGAATCTTGAATTAAATAGTCGCACACCGGGTAGGGCTTCTGTGATAAGCTTAAAGACTCCCTTTTTAAGTAACCTATTGATTTCTTTTTGTCTTGAATCTCGGAACTGAGTATTGGTGCTGCTCTCCTCTTGTAAAAAGATAGTTATGGGCGGAAAGTGTTTACGTGGGCGACCTAGGCCACGTTTTTGCGCTTCTTTAGGGACAGGGGTAGTTATAGGTATCGGGTGCTTACGTGGACGGCCTGGGCCACACTTCTATGGCTACGTGGGCTGCGAGGGAGTAGGGGCAAGTTCTTGTTCTTGATTATCTACCCGTGTTCGGCCAGAGCGTCTAGGTTCTGGCTGTGATCCAATATGTTTAGAGAGGGTTTTAGTTTTGGCTTCTGGTGCCATTAGGTCGATTTGGTCTATTCCCTATGGTTCTGGGTTTAGAGTCGGCGATTCTATATAAAATGGTTTGACCACTGTCGATCGAAATGCTGTTGGTCCACTTGGCAGTTTGACTATGTAGTTTTCGTCTTCAATCGATAGCAGTATATATGGCCTAGTCTAATTGCCTGTTTTTCCTATGTTTCCTTCTCTCTAGACAAGAACTGGTGAATTCAGTAGCAAATCATGGATTACGGTCGTGTTTAGGCCATTTCTTATGTTTAATGCATCAGCGATTTGGCGTTCTGCTAGGAGCTTCTATATCTCGGCCATCGCCTTTCTGACTGCTATAGCACGCTATGTGATTAATGGTGAAGGGGAATCTAAGTCAATCATTCGGGGGTATGCGCCAAAAACGAGTAGTGTAGGGACTAAACCTCCTGGTCCAGCTGTGTCGTTAATTGCTTTAAAGGCCATTTAGAGGGCTATTTCTCGGTCGATTCCAGGAATTTCAGCAATAATAATCTGGTAGGCGCGGCGTAGGGGGCCGTGGTATCGTTCAACTATGCCGATTGAGTTATGCGCTTTAATAGGCATACTTCTTGTGTTTATGCCTATAGCTTTTGTATAAGTCTTGAATTCCTTATTGATGAAGTTCTTTCCGGCGTCGTGGGTGATCTAGTCTGGAGGGCCTAAATATATGTCGATCTAGCATGATCGTAGCTTATCCTAGGTGTTTTTAGTACTAATGTTGTCTAGCCATCGGCCTGATTGAAAGCGTGTTGCTTCGTCAACAATATAAAGGAGGGGCATGTTTACGATGTATATAATATCGACTATAATATTGAAGTTGAATTTTATATCATCTAGGTCCTTTAGGGTGAAGCGGAATCTTCCTGGCGATTTTCTAAACTTCTGGCAGAATTGGCAAAATTTGGTAAGGTGTTCCAGTGCCGTGGTGTTTATTTCATGGCCTGCGTTTTAGAGCAACTTTTGGAGTCGGCTGACTGATGGATGGCCAAAGCGACGGTATAGTTGTCTAAGCTTAGTATCGGTCAGGAAGCAAGGGTTTGTGCTGAACAATGTGCTTAGGTACGAGGAGAGGGGTGCGTCCTATAGTATGAAGGGGTGTCCAAAACGGCGGATAATAGGTATTTCATCATACTTGCCTGGTTTTGAAGTGATGATTATATTCCTGAGGTTGTTATAATATACTCCAAGGTTATCTATATCCGCTAGATATAGCAGGAATAGGGTGTCTGCATTGACGACGTGGAATTGAATGTTGCTAATAGGAGTAGAGATTTTTACTGATCCGATCGAAGAAGTTGTTCTAATTCCGAATTGGACGTCTACTTCGCCAGCTATGGAGGTATCCAATTTAATGTTCTTAATCCTCTAGAGCGCTTAGAACTGGCCAAAACCGGCTGTAGATTTTCTTGAGGCTCCGGTGTCGATCATGATTCCTATAAAATTTTGGGAACTATATCGGCTGATAGGCATAGTAGTGTAGCTGAATAGGTCAGAGTCAGCTAGCGAAGTATGCTCTAGTAGGCGAGAGTTATCGAAAAGCGAATGCAAGAACACTCTATTAGCAAGTTCTGAGCTTGTTGCTATAGCTTGCTTAGCAGTAATTGAGCCGAATGAGGTAAAGAAGTTATCAACATGGTCATATTCTTCTTCACCAGAGTCTGTTCCTTTTGTCACGGGGCGGGCAGGTGAATAGAATTATACTAGAACTGGACAGACAGTATTACATTGACTGACAGGCTAAGACGAAGACGTAGCTTGAAGAGCTACATTCAGACAAGGTTCTGAGTTTACATGAGGTTGCGGGTCACGTGGCCCGCACTATCTAATCAATCAGTAGTCGTCTGAGCTGGCACCGTGACACCTTTGGTCTGGAGGGCAATGGTTTAGGTGTCGACCAGAAGGGCTTTAAAGGCTTCTATTTGTTCGCTCTCGTCGTCTCCTTCGCAATATACCATATACTGCCTATATCGCTTATTGAAGTCACCGTTTTTCTCCTTATTGTTGTTGAATCCCTGGAGGAACTTTTGCTTAGATTGCCTTTGTTCCTCCTCACTATGTCTCCAAGATCGGTAGGTTGGTTTCTGGCAGACATAGCATTTTCCCTATAGGTTTCTTTTAGTCTGATTCCTGGTAAGTCCTCTTCCTTGATTACCGTCTCTATGGTATCGTCTATTGGTGTAGAATGTTTCTTCTAAGGCGAATGCTGCTTGCCTCTCGGGGTTTTCTTTCTCCTAGGTAGTGATTGATGACTATAGTTTATTGATCAATACCGCGAGGTCTTCTGGTGGATCAGAAAGTGCGTTACTACACGCTAGGACTCCTCTATAGGCTATGATAAGCTTATTAATAAGGTTCATATTGCTCCTGAGTTCTGGGTGAAGACTATATCGCTTTCTAAGGAGGTCACTAAGCATGGATTAGAAAT